ACTTTTCTGGGGGGGTGATAATTCCTTAAAAAAATTCATAAATTGGTCACTTCAATCCATGACTGTTTGCGTGACACCGCTGTGCGCAATTGGATGCCACGTTTCACCCACTAAATACACAGTCAATTCACTTTACAGTATATTCTGTTAAGCACTTTGAGACATCTCGAAGATGTGATGGGGCACTACATCAAATGTAAGGATTATTATTATTTTTAAATATGTGTAATTCTCTGTGAATCTACGAGTCAGACCCTGTTGTCTCATTTTACTTTGCAGGCCATTATATCTGGCTAGGAGCTCAGGACATCAATTCTTCCAGTCCTTCTCTCAAAAGTTCTGTGTATCACAACTCAGGGCCAAACTGTCGTCTAGAGTTCTATTATCAAATCAGTGGGAATCATGTCCTGACGATATCACTCCAAACATATGAGGTGAGCAGACCCCATTCTATCTCACTGCCCCCGCCTTAATTCCAGGACATTTCGTTTTAGATGAGTTTTAGCTTTCTACAGCTCAATATCAACAAGTCTAAGGCTCTCCTACTTGGCTCCTGCTTCAGATCACCACCTTCTCACCTCTGGTTATCAATCAAACAATTGCATGGATACACAATTCGACTCGTGGGACCATTTGCTGAACCTTGGTGTCTCGTTCGACTGTCAACTGTCCTTTAAATCCTATGTTCAGGCTCTCATTCTTTCCTTCCCTTTAAACCTTTTTTTACTGTAATTTCAGCCACCTTCCATGCTTTCCCCGCAGCTTGGGCTCCCAGTCATTTAAATAAAGTGCTTTGAGATGTTATCTTGATGTGGAAGACGCTATATAAATGTAAATTTGGTTTTGTAATTGGACATGGTTACTTCAAACTAGTACAGTGAGACAGAATTAATCCTGGAATTAATCCTGATCCTTATTTACTTATTTACTGATGCTTAAATCTTATTCATATTAGTTTATCATTAATATTCCTTTGGTGCCAATTTGATACTTTGCTGTGAAGCTCATCACTATATTCAGTATGTAGGCAGCAGTGGAATATTACGACATTTGATGTAATAATTATCACATAGTTGAAAACTACAGTAGGGCCATTTGATAACTGAAGACTGACTTTGAGAGTGAATGATCCCACTGCCAACCTCTATATAAATAAGACCGCTATATAAATGCAAATTATTGTTGTTCAGTGCTGCTTTACACCGGAATATTGCCTGAGTTAATCCACATCTTTTACAAGTATTTTCATTCGGTAATTTACAGGAAGGGAAAATACTCTGGGAGGAAAGGGAATCAACAGAAAACCGATGGATTCAAGCAGAAGTGCATCTGTCGACTTGCCTTAACCAATTCCAGGTGATTATGTTCAGTCATTAAATCATTTTTTTACGTTGGTAAAAGCTTTATGACACCAGTTGTTAATGTGCACTTAGGGCCTAGACTTTCCCTTTCAGCATGTTGACACACTTACTATCAGACAAGAATTAGCATGGAAATTACAAAGGTTTCAGGTTCAACTTGACCTATTTTATAGGAGTTTGGGTTCAATCCCAATGTTGAGTCTCTAAGTTCATAGTGTAAGGGGCTGACATTGCAACACAGTGCTGGTGTGTGCAGCATTATCGGGGGTGTCATACTTCAGCTGAAATGCTAAACTGAGGTCCTGTCTGCCTGTTTAGGTGATGTAAAAACACCCTTTGGCACAATTTGAAAAGAGAAAAGAATTTTTCCCAGTGTCTTGGCCAACAATCTTCCATGTAACCTATTCACTTCATGGCTGTTAGTGAGACATTGTTATGTGCATATCAGCTGCAACATTTACCAAAAAAAATACAGTCGCTACCCTTGATAGTAAATCCTGAGATATTTCAATTACATTATAAGAACAGTAATAAATCTTCATTATTATATACTGTTCATTTCTCTATCCTTTGCTGATTCAACTCCTGTGGATTGTGTTCAGATTTCTGGCATTTGTAGTTATTTTACTAAATCTCAATTGTACAATATTCCATTATAAATATGTAGGATTTTAGAGCAAGGACTGAAATTGCAACTTGTATTTTCTCTTGCCTTTCTTTATGCATGATTCCACATATTCATTAAAATAATAATAAAACATATTGGACTAAATCACCTGCATAAGCTCTCGAGAACTTTAGTTGTCAGCTCATAAAAAATGAGGGGTTGTTTGGGTTGTTAGCTGCACTGTACAAAACCTGAAGCACTTTGATAGAGAAATGTACATTGTATAATGTTGAATATTTATTATTGTTCGTGTAATGTAATTGAAATATCTCAAAGTGCTACTCAGGATTTACTGCAAAGTATAGCGACTGTGTTCTTAGGAGAATGTTGCAGAAAATTTGCACAAAGCATTGTCCCCAAATCAGGGAAGGGATTTTACATGGAGGATTGATGGTCTTATACTTCAATTTCCTATAGAAATGCTGTGCTTTCTAACCATCCTCTGTCAAGAAGCAAAGCTCTTGTCTCTCCCCCCACCCACCAATCTACAGGAAAGCATTGAAGTTGACAGACCCATGATTCAAGATTTATTTTAATGAGCCCTTGAAGGCTCCATAAGGAAGCTGCCCTGTCTGTCCACCTGTCTTTGTGTCACTGTGTTTGTAATAGAGATCAACAGCAGCCTTAATATCTCACCTACATCAGTGAAACTCAAAGATGTTTTACACTAAAAGCTATTTTAATTGTTAAATAAAATTTATAATGTATTGTACTCTGAGATAACAAGTGCAAGGGTCAAGAGATTTAAAGGGACATGATCAGTAAGCGGTGGCAGTAGGGGACATTTTATCCCTGTAAGGAAAATTATCATAACTTTCTGACAAGTGGAAAGGTACATTTTGAACATTACAGACATTTATCGCAGCTGATATGGAAGAAGGGCTTTCTCGATTTGCAGGATGAGTGAGATTTTGCAGTAACAATCCACACTGTTGAAATAGTACTTAAATCTCTTTAATGTATCAATTATAGGGGATGAGATTCAGCCCATGTGCAATGCATTACGGCTCATACAAAATATATTTCTGCTCAAAGCATGTGATGTCTCAGAACTGTGGGTAGAGCGTGAAGGGAATACCAACCTAAGGCCCTGAAGATCACTAAAGTTAGCTTGAAGTCAAGTTTATCAATAAAACTAACACATTTTAGGAAATTCTGTGTATTGTATTTGATCAAAACAAAATACAAATGAGATGCTCTTTTGTGGCTCTGCTTTGCTTAGCCATAGATATTGTGCATTGTAACATCGGAGTTTAGCATGCAACATTATGATGATCATTCACTTCGATGGCTGTTTGTGGGATGATGCTGCAAGCAAATTGGCTGCTCCATTTGCCTACAGAATACACAGTCATTACACTTTCCAGTAAATCCTGTGAAGTACATCGTGACGTCCTTCCAAAGTGAAAGATGCTATGTAAAATTCAAGGATTATTACTGATATATGAACACGTAATGAAATGATCAGTATTTATCATGATCAGAAACATTATTTCAGTGAGAGAGTCATAACATAACATGTAGGAGCAGGAGTAGGCCATTCGGCCCTTCGAGCCTGCCCCGCTATCTTCTGATCTTCTGATCTTCTAATTTAACTCCTAATAACCTGACCCTGCCTTATCCCCATATCCCTTAATTCCTTTTGCAATAAGAAATCTATCTATCATAAATTTACAGAACAGGCTCCCTAGGGAGACAGTGAAAGCAGAAAATGTCATTTGTTTCAAGAACAAATCAGACAGATTTATGCTAGAAAATAATATCCTGGGATACAGTATGTAGTCTGGGACACAACATGTCACGTGACTGCCAGGATGGCGAAGTAGATGGACCTTGGTCTTCTTTTGCCTAGTAAATTCGTATGTTCTTATGTTTTTATGATCAGAGCATGATTGACCCCATTATCTAGTTTAAAAAAATAGTGCAGAGCGCACTTGCCAGGAAACTACAGCAAAAAGTGAAAGCACTTCCCTGAATTAGACTTGAGTGAGCACCAAGATAAAAATCTGGTTATTGAAATATTGGGAAACAAATCTATATTAATCAAATGTGTTATCAATCTGTTATGAAATGTTGCACTTGATCATCTATCCCTTAAACACTTTCCATTGGGGTGAACTCTTCATCTCACTTGGCTGCAGCCCCATAGATTAGTCCAAAACTGGTTTGTGATATTATTCAGCCATTTTGATCAGGTGCCAGTGAGGATCTGATTTTTTTTAAGCCCTGGAAGTTGAATCCCGTTTCACGCTATATTAGACAAAAGTCTCAAGGTGGGTTCAAAATGAAAAGTGACCGTCTTTTTAAAAAAAAACACTCGTCTAAAACACAAAGGAAAATCACTGATTGCAACCATGGTATTGATCCTGTTTTTAACTGCTCTAAAATACTGATCCAGCAATACATCACTTGCTCCCCCTGGAATGCCAATCTAAAATCCTGATTTGGGGGTTGAAGATTTGAACCCACAACATCTGACCCAGAGGCTGCAATGTTACCCAATGGTTTGAGTCATCAAGGGGAGCTGTCATATACTTTTCAGATGTTGTTTCAATGCTATGCAAAGTAAAGTCTGCCGCACTCAGCTTTTAGTATTGCAAAACCAAAATGAAAATTGAGACAAGATTTTAAATTGTACTGATCTACATTTCAGGTTACGCCAATTTTTTTTAAATGTAGAACTTGATGGAAATCATAATTAATTTAGCCGACCGGGTTAAGCAGTGTAAGAGAATTGATTGCAAGCTGAGATGTATTAAGGCCATTGACATGATCCACTCTGTATCTAATTTCTGTCCCTATCTCTCCCTAGGTTATCTTTACAGGTTCTGTTCAAAGCACAATTGGCTTCTTGGCCCTGGATAGTTTGCGGTTCAATGACTGTGAATTGGCGCCATACCCAGAACCTTGCCAGCCTTTCACTTTTGGTTGTGATACAGGCCTCTGCATCCCAATCAGTTCAGTCTGTGACTTCCAGACTGACTGTTGTGATGGTGCGGATGAAGAATTAACAACGTGCAGTAAGTCACTCATGTTTTTATGGTTTGGTATTTTACTATTACTTTTCATTGGCTTGAATTTTTCAACCTCACTGTTGTGTCAGGAGAACTGTAGGAAATATTAGATGTACCAATTACATTACAGTGCAATGTATGACACAGCCAGCTTCCTCGGCGTGACCACTGAGTGGTACAAATTGAGGAAATGGCTAGCAGTTACGGCAAATAAGGAAATGAGAGATTTAAAGACATTGACCAACAATACATTCAAAGAGATATTGTTCTGAAGGTAGGAAAAGTTTTTGAAAGAGACTAGCAGAGGCCTTCTTCGTGTTCCTCACCAGATCTGCCTCACCGTCTGTAGATAAACATTCAGACAATTTGTTCCCGCTCTCTGATGTCAATCTCGAAGTCGCTCCAGCTCGCTCCTTTTCTCTCTGCCTTCAACCCCCCCATTAAGACCTATCTCTCAATTGCTCTTTCAACCACTTTCTCCCCATCTTAACTTCCCCTTCCCCTCGAGTCAGCCATGTGAAACAGTTTAAGACAGCTTCCCAACATGAAAGGTGCAACATAGACGTAAGTTCTTTTTGTTGTTCATCTGTATTACTGTGAGATAACAGAACTTGAATGGACTCCACTTAGGGATTGCAATCTCGGGATTTCGGGAGCACATAAAATACTATATCGGATTCTGGAAAGGGAAAGGTGGAAGGGGATGGTAGGCCTTCCTTATTCATTGGAAGCATTGTTGAATCCTGTAGTTCAGTGGTTAGAGCACTTGCCTCGCGAGCGAGAGGACCTGGGTTCGATTGCTGGCAGGGTGAAATGTTGGGCAAACTTCCTTAGTCCACACGCCTCTGCTTACCTCGCAGTAAGTAGGAACCTGGTTGTTAGTCGATTGGTGGATTGCTTTTCCGGGGCCAATAATTCATTTAAAAAAAATTTGGTCACTTAATCCATGAGTGCTTGTGGAATACTGCTGTTCGCAATTAGCTGCCACATTTTGCCCACAAAACAATCAATTCACTTTACAGTATATTCTGTGAAGCGCTTTGAGATGTCTAGAAGACGTGATATCAAAGCAAGGATTATTATTATTAAGCATTGGTGTGGAGAATGACCAAAGGCATCCTGGACAAGGTAAGATTTGGGATCTTGGAATCAGGGATGTGGAGCATTAAAATTCTGGTATTCCAAAAGAGCATCGCATTCCAACCCCGAGCTCCATTGCCTCTTTGGCTCAGTCTCAATAAGCAGCCAGAGAGGTTTATGGAATCAGACCCAAATGATGATTGATCCAGAACTTGATGTGAGTGAGACTGTCAAGCAGTGGTGGAATTGAGGGTAGATAAATTGTAATGAATAAACAAGCATGTGGCTGAAATGCAACCCAAGTGAGGATACTCCACTGAAGCAGGAATTTGGCACATTTCTTGTACAGAATAAAGAGAGCTTACCTCTGTGACATTGGCACTCCCTCCAGACAACTTCAGCACAATAGTTGGGACTGAAGATTTCAGCCCTAAAAGATTTCAGCCCTAAAAGATTTCAGCCCTTGAAGATTTCAGCACTCCATTTGTTGTTCCTGATTTGGGATCTTGGAGAGCTTAGATTCAGTACAGCTAAAAATAGGATACAGGCTTAATTCAATCAATATCCTGGAAGGTACAACTGAAACACCAGTTCTGGGAATCTATGATGGAGTGAAAATGTATGGCCAGACTCCCTCCACTTCGCCCTCATTCAACGACCTTTAAAAGCCACCTGAAGGCCTATTGTTTTGATTATGCTTTTGCTCCACTTTGCTCCCCTCAATCCTCCGCAGCCCCCCCCATCCTCCAGCTCAGGCTCCCACTCAGCTGTGTGAAGTGCCTTAAACTGTTGTGCGAACGTCAGAGGCTCTATATAAATGTATTTGTTGTTGATTTGGTAAAGACAGGTTTGGATGGTACTATTTGACAAAATGATAAGTATCACTGGATATAATTATTTTCTACCCCAATTTGCCTCTATTGCTTATCACATATGGAAGGAAAATGTTTTGCTGCAAATTTGTAAAGCTGAGTGTTTGCCTTAATATAAGTTACACTTTACATTTATATAGTGACATTCAAGTTAGGAGGACATCTCAAAGTGCTATACACAGCTGGCTGGACAACTGAGCCACATTGGGGAGTAAGATGATCGTAGTGAAAGAGGCAAGACTTGAGGTGGGTTTTGAAAGTGGAAGGGCAGGCATAAGTTGGAGGCAGGGGGCAGAATAGTTAAAAGGGGCATAGTGCAAGGGACATGATGCTATTGTTTGCTGAGCGAAGGTAAAGTTATAGGGACAAAATAAAAGTGGATAGCAAGTCTAAATACAAAGTCCTGGAAATCACAAAGGATAAAGAGGACACTTATTAGTGCATGAATGCAGCCAGACTTCCTGGCATTGCTACAGCTCATTAGCTCAACTGTCAGACAATTTCACCTACAGTCAAAACAAATTGTTGTGTTTGTTAATGTGCTTAGTGATGATAAGCCCCTCATTACTTGAGCAATCATGGAAGTAAGCACGAGTAAGTTTTCCATTATTCTTGTGATATTGCCCTGTTTAGGGATTGATTTTACTTCCTTTGCACGCTACATTTTTGGCATGTAATTTGTGCTACAGTCCAAGAGTACAACAGCAGCAAAAATTTGCATTTTTATAATGCCCTTCACACGGGTTAGCACTCTTAACAGTGGTGGAGCTTGACACTGAGCCAGGGAAGGGGATAGGTGACTGTAAGCCAATAATACAGCATAATACATGTCTCCGGCCATCACTTTGCCCTCATTGCTCATGCTTGTGCTCCAGTTCACTGCACAAACATGGCAACTTTATTTTTACATTCTGGAAATCCAAGAAAGGGTTTGGTTGCTGCTTTACTATGATAGATACATTATACATTTCTTACTTGGCTTGTTTCACAATTCAGCCTTGTTAACCTTGACCATAGACAATTATTACAACAACAACAACAACTTATAGCGCCCTCCATGCAGGGCATCGTCTCAAAGCGCTTAACAAAATGGCGAAGCCTGACTCCGAGCTGGGAGTGGGTGGGTTGACCGTGAGCACGGTCGAAGAGGAAGATTTTAAGGTGGGACTTGAGAAAGGGGAGAGAGAGGCAAGGCAGAGGGACTGAGAGAGAGTGTTCCAAGGTTTTGTGGCGTAGTGGCTGGAAGTGCAATGGTGGAGCATAGGCTGCAAAGAACGAGCAGGAGGCCAGTGCTAGTCGAGTGGAGACACTGGGTGGTGGATTGAGGTAGGAGGCCAGAGAGGTAGGGAGGTGCCAGGGAGTGAAGCAATTTGAAAACATGTTTGAGGATCTTGAAGTCAATTCGTTTGGTAATGGGGAGCCAGTGGAGCCTGGCCAGAAATCATGTAACTTAAACGAGTGAGTTAAAAGTATGCAAATACTGCAGAGTAAGAGATGGGTGAAATGAGCAGCGGTGAATTCTAAGGCAGTGATTGAATCAAGCAGATCTTAGCATGTCAGAAGCCCAAGACCAATGATCTACCCCAACCTTATTGCCAACACTTGGCCATTCACTGTATTATAGAAAATATAGCTCACAATTTATTTATCATTAGATAGGAATTGTTTTTAACCTTTGCTGCACAATGAAATAAAGATAGATGTTAGTTAGCGTTCCATTTGAGGGCAGAATATTGATGAATGAAGGATTAAGAGTGGAGCTGTCTCTTTCACAATGTACCAGCTTGGTTCCTAGTCCATCATGTGAAGTGTTTTAAATGTCCTCCCAATGTGATAGGTATCATATAAATGTAAATTGTTGTTGTACTATGAAGGAGCAGATGGAGACTGAGGGTGACATAAGTTCATGTTTTGAATAAGGTAAACATGGCTCACTCTCTTTTTCCTGCATTCCAGCAAATTACACCATGTGCAGCTTTGAGACCAATTTCTGTGACTGGAAGCAGTTGAACACTGATGGTTTTGACTGGGCTAGAGGATCAGCCCAAACATCTCCAGGTTCTGGGTTACCAAAGGCAGATCACACAACTAAGATTGACAAAGGTGAGTAGGTTCCTAGCATCAAATCATAAGACCACAAGAATGATTGAAATGATGAAGTCCCATTATAATTACAGGTGCACATGGGACCCACAAGTCTAAGCTTGCTAGATTTCATCAGTAGAGGAGAACCCTGTTATAAGCTGCTTCACTGTACTGTAAGGTCTTTTATAAAGCAGTTGACGTTTGAACATGTTTTATTCCAGAGACATCCACAGTCTTGACAATTGAACTCACAGCTAGTGTCAGTACCACTGATAATCAGAACCCTACTGTCACTTGCCTGCTTCTTCTCCCTGGAACTGGGCGATCTGAAAATGGATGGTTCTGGTGATGTACACACATGAAATGAGGAACAGGAAGTTTGCCACAAGTAGCTATTGAAGCTGCATCACTAGAATCGGCTAAAAAGGGAACTGAATAAGAATCTGAGCAGTAAAAACATTTCAAGATTAGAGGAGAGAATTTAGAAAATGGGATTAATAAAAAAAGGTGATTTGAAAAAACAGGTAACATTGGCACAGGCACAAATGGCCCTCTCCTGCATGTCTATGTTTTTGTAACGTACTGAACTATGAAAGCGGTTCATAATAATCATCTGACAAGATCATAGACAAGTGGTGCCTACAGTGTTATTCCAAAGTTACTCCAGTAATCATCGTGGTTCAAGGTAACTAAATATTTAGTAACCCTGATGGATGGTTTATTTATTTTATCTACTACAGCAGCCAGTTTAGGATAAACTACTTGAACAGTACCTCTATTTTCTGAGCTTCAGCATTAGAAAACTGAAACAAAATACAAGGTCATATGCGCAGGGCTGAATTTGCAATGTCTAGTCTCTAGACATTTGCTGCAAAAAAATCTCTTTTTTACAGTTATCTTCATTTCTTTCATCTGGTTTAAAGGGGAAGCTGTTACTGTGGTAAAATCCCGGCAAGAATTGTTCATATTGGGTATTGGCCTGTTCCTTTAAATAAAATGGCCCCAGAGAAATACAAATGAAAAGCTATATTTTTGTGTTAGTGCATCATTGTTTCATTGCTTGTGTGTGGATGTTTACGGGGTAAACTGCCTCCTCCAGTACCAACTCCAGGTCTATCAATGTTCTATCAGCTTGTCTGGCAGACATCAAGGCCTGGATGAATATAAATTTCCTGCCGCTGAATTTAGAAAATGGGATTCCTGTAGAGTCCTGTAGCTCAGTGGTTGGAGCACTTGCCTCTCAAGCGAGAGGACCCGGGTTCGATCCCCAGCAGGTCAGAACGAAACCCTGGGCAAGTTTCTTTAATCCACCACACGTCTGATAATAATCCCTCAAGAGAAGAAAACAAATGATAATAATATTAATCACTTCAATCCATGACTTTTGTGGGACATTGCTATGCGCAATTGGCTGCCGCATTTTGCCCACATATATGTATATATATACAGTTAATTCGCTTTACAGTATATTCTGTGAAGCACTTTGAGATGCCTAGAAGACGTGAAAAGTGCTATATCAAATGCAAGGATTATTATTATATTTATTATGAATGTGGACAAGATGGAAGCCATATTCCTTGGCTCCCATCAATGTCTTCGCTCCTGCGGATCTAAACTTCTCAACCTCCCTGGGCTCTCCCTCAGACTCATCGAACCAATGCACAGCCTGGACATCCGGTTTGACACCCAGCTGTCCTTCCTCCCACATCCGGTCCCCGACCAGGACTGCCTTCTTCCACCTCCGCCACATTGCCCGCCACCTACCGTATCTTAACCCAAATGCAGCTGAAACCCTCGTGCATACGTTTGTCACCTCCTGCCTGGATTACTCAAACGCACTCCTCGCCGGTCTCCCCAGCTCCACTATTCAAAAGATCCAGCTCATGGAGAACCCTGCCGCCCACATACTGACCCGGACCAAACTACACACCCCGATCTCACCAGTTCTGTCCAGGCTCCACTGGCTCCCCATCACCGAACGGATCAACTTCAAGATCTTCACACTCATGCACAAATCCATTCACTCCCTGGCACCTCCCTACCTCTCCGACCTCCTCACTCAACAATTCACCACCCGGCGTCTCCACTTGACTGGCACTGGCCTCCTGCTCGTCCCTCGCACACTCCGCCCACCATCGGAGGTCGTGTTTTTAGCCACTATGCCCCAAAACTCCGGAACACATAACCTCAATCCCTCCGCCTTGGCCCCTCTCTACCCTCTTTCAAGTCCCGCCTGAAAACCTCCTCTTCGACAATGCTTACACCTCCTTCCCCACGGCTTAGTGTCAGGCTCCACCACTATTAAGAGCTCTGAGACGCTACCCTGCGTGGATGGCTCTATATAAGTGCAAGTTGTTGGTGTTGTTGCAGTTTTTGTTCCTTGACTTGCCATCATGCGAGTCAAGTGGCTGCTCTGTGACTTCATCCATGGCGGTAATCCAAGATGTTTCTTTTCCAAAGAAAATTATGAAAGTCTTCCCTTGAGATATCGTCTCAATGTGAAATGCCCTATATAAATGCAAATTGTATTGTAAGAATCCATGACATTATTCAAAAAGGGATTTTTCACAGTATGCTGGCCAACAATCCACCATTTAAGTTAATCAGTAAACTCCCGGTTATTTATGGGCATTGTTCTGTGCAAATTGGCTGCCTTGTTTGCCCTCAAATTGCACTACCATTACACGTAGAGTTTTGATGTTATAGGCACTATATTGAATAGAAGGAATATTATTATATTAATAATACTAACCCCTGCATTTGATATAGTGCCTTATCACGTCTTCTAGACGTCTCAAAGTGCTTCACAGAATATACTGTAAAGTGAATTGACTGTATATTTTGTGGGCGAAACGTGACAGCCAATTGCGCACAGCGGTGTCTAACAAACAGTGATGGATTGAGTGACAAAATTATTATTATTTTTTGATTTATTTTTTGGAAGGGATTATGACCCCTGGAAAAGTGATCCACTTACTGACTGACAACTGGGTTCCTACTTAACGATAGGTAAACAGAGGCGTGTGAAGAAAGGAAACTTGCCCAACATTTCACCCTGCCCCGAATTGAACCCAGGTCCTGTTGCTGGGGAGGCGAGTCCTCTAAGCAATAAGCCTCAGGACTCCGTATGGACGAGTACAGAAAATTTCATGTGATTTGAATTTTTTAAATTATAATGGTGAAAATGTGCATTACATTATAAACTGCATTCTCTCTCCCAATAATGTCAGAGGATGGAAATCAACGTTAACTTTCAAAATGCAAAATATTTAATCATAATCCTTGCATTTGGTAAAGTATGATTCATTTTGCTGGTACGTCCCAAAGTGCCTGATAGGAATTACTGTGAAGTGTAAATGAACACAGCAGGCCAATTGCACACAGCAATGTCCCACGTGCAACCATGAAACAAATGACCCATTTTATTCAGGGAATTGTTGCCCAGTATACAGGGAAACTCCTTTCTTTTTTCGAAAAGTGCCATGGCATCTTTAAAGTCCACCTGACCAGGCAGACTGGATCTCAATTTACCGTCACCAAAGACGGTACCTCCGTCAATGCAACACACCTCCAGTGCTGTATTGTAGTTGTCATCTTAGATTACGTGAGTTGAATTCCCAACGTTGGGCTGAAACCCATAACCTTCTGACTTAGAGGCGAGAGTGCTACCAATGAAGCCAGCCTGACACAAAACTAAGCCAGGCTGACACATTTAAAATAATTCTTGCAAAACAGTAAAACAATTCAGCCAGACAACCATGCTTTGCTTCTTGGTGCTCGAGTTATATGAATCAGACTGTTTTAAATGAATAAATAAGTTCCGTTTTTTTCCCGAATTCTCTGATATGATAGGAATGTTTGTCTACTTTCGAGCAAGCTCCGACTCTGCTGCAGATGGGACAGCTCAGCTTGGCAGTCCTGTTCTAAGAAAGCAATTCATCAAGGGATCACTCTGCCAGGTAATTATGTTTCTGCCATTTCTGGAACGCGCTTTAACTCAGAGACCTGACATTAAATACATCCCACAAACCACGAAGGCACAACCAAGAACCTCAGTAGTTTGTGATTGAAACGGTATATATATCAAATCAGATGTTCCCATTGCACTGCACTGAGGAGGAAGCTGGCCTTTTTAATGTACTGTAATGCATCAATGAATTATGCATGAAATATAAATGCAATTCTAATAAAAAAGGTATTCTAATGCAAAATTGTTTGGCATTACGATGTTAATCACGTCAAAACAAATCATCCTCTGGCAAAAATAGTATTGCATCGACCGCTTGCCTGTGATACTGCAATAAAAATGATGTATGACTCCTGGCTGCTCTCCCTTCGCAGCAACAAAGATCGGTCCCTCCTTCAATTCAGTTAATTCCTAAAATAAAAGCAGATGCCACACAAGTTTTTATGGAATCTTCTAAAGTCCAATGTCAATTTGTCAAAGAAAGAAACAACATTTCTCTTAAAACAGGATTTGATCATATATATTGGTATTGATCACTGAAAGAAAAGGCAGGCGGCATCGAGTTTTATTTCTCTGTCGCTCTGTGTGGCTGGATGTTAAACAAACGACCGCCCTCAGATGGTGCAGGACGTGTGACAGAGCAACAGCAGAAACCCAGGGAGATTGTGCCAGAGACTTCATTCATAGACAGTTCCAACTGAATTGAACGTAGAGCAAGCAATTGATTTAAAATGACTTACAGATAGCACCTGAAGTTGAATTTGATCCCCACGACATTAATTTTTCATTTCATTTAAACTGTAGTGAACAGCAAAGGTTTTGCGATTCCCAGGAGTTGATCTGATCAGTGTTGAAGGGTGCAGTAGGTTCCTGTGCTTCTTGTGTTGAGCCTCTCAAGGGAGCGAGCAGGATGGTAGGGGGTGAGGAGGTCACAGAGATAGGGGGAGCAAGACCATGGAGGGCTTTGAAGGTGAGGACCAGGATCTTGAACTGTGTGATGGGAAGCCAGTGGAGTTGGCTGAGGACAGTGGTGATAGGGTCACGGAACCTGGTGCGGGAGAGGACACGGCTGCAGAGTTCTGGATGATCTGCAGCCTGTGGAGGGAGGAGTTGGGGAGGCCAACAAGCAAGGAGTTTGCATAGTTAAGCCTCGTTGTAATGAAAGCTTGTGGTGTGAGATAGTGGCAGAGCTGGGTGATGTTGTGGAGGTGGGGGAAGGCAGAGCGGGTCACGGCACAGATATTGGGTAGAAAGGATAGTTGAGGGTCAAACAAGACTGGCTTAGCAAGGTGCAGTGTGCATCCATGGATGGTGATGCTGTCAACGCCTGAGGTGTGGAGGCGCTGACGGGAGCCAATCAGGAGAGCCTCAGTCTTGTTGACATTAAACTGAAGAAAGTTAGTTCTCATCCAGGACTTGATGTCTGACAGACAGTTTGTCAGGACAGAAGTGGTCCTTAAGTCAAGGGTGGAGGCAGAGAGGTATAGTTGGGTGTCATCTGCATACATGTGGAAGTTGACCCCATGTCTGCAGATGGTGTCACCAAGAGGGAGCATATAGATATTGAAGAGGAAGGGACCAAGAACAGAGCCCTGAGGAACGCCTCATGAGATGGGGCGGGGGCTAGAGAAGAAACCGTTTGAGAGACGGTACGATCTGAACCAGTCAAGGACAGAGCCGTGAAGGTTGAAGTGAGAAGAGAGGCAGTGGATGAGGATAGAGTGGTCGACGGTGTCGAAGGCAGCAGAGAGGTCAAGGAGGATGAGGAGGCAGAGGGAGCCCTGGTCGCAGATGGACAGAATGTAATTTGTCACTTTGACCGGAGCTGTTTCTGTGCTGTGGGTGGTATGGAAACTTGATTGGAAGGGGTTCGTGAAGGGAGTGGCAGGAGAGGAAGGAGCGAAGCTGAGAAGCAACAACTCATTCCAGGATTTTGGAGAGGAAAGGGAGGTTGGAGGTGGAGCGCTAGTTTGAGAGATTATTATTCTTTAAGTAAGTATAATAATCCTTACAGTTGGCACAGTGCCTTTCACATCGGCAGGATGCCACAAAGCACTTCATAAGATATATACTTCAAGTGCAGTGACTGTGCTTTGTGGGCAAATGTTCAGCCAATTTACCTACAACAATGTCCCACAAACAGACAAAGAGTAAGTGGGGGATTGTTGGCCAGGAAAATATGGTAAGTATCGCATCACATTTTCACCTCGATATTTCAATTAATATAGAGAGGTACATAACCTTGTCTTGGACAGATGTGATATCAGGGATTAGCTATATTGTCAGTAAATCGGCAACACTATAATAGAACTTCTGTTTAAATGATTTCTGCTTCTCAGTTACTTAAGATTTAGTCACAGATGTGTTTCGCATGAACAGGAGTTAAACGAGAATTTTCTAACAGTGTAGGATTTGTCTTTTATTTTGACTAAGGTGAGGTTCTGGTACCAGATGTCCCCAGGAGCTAAACTTTCAGTGCACACTAGAACAGTGGTTGGCGGCCATTCTGAGAGAGTCACTGAGATCACCACAGCAACCAACAGAGGCTGGGCTACGCAGGAGATTACGGTGGAACCCAGCGCAGCAGAAGCCATGATACCTTTCCAGGTACCAAGAGCATTTTGGGGGGGAATCCAGGTGTCTGACACAAGCAGAAACTCATCACCAGGCTTAAGAGTATCCAAACCAAAATTCTGTGTATTCCATCTGCACATAGAAATTCCTAAAATATTTATTGGAATGGAATGCACACTCTCTCCCTGGAGGGGTGCATCCTGCCTGCCTAATTCCAAGAACATGGTTAAACAAAATCAATCCAAATCAAACAGTTGGAAAACCTTGAAATTCCTACTGCCCTATAATAATACAACAAAATTACATTTGTATAGCGCCTTTCACGGCGGGAGGACGTCCCAAGGCCCTGGACAGACAGTGTTATGGACCCAAGCTGGGGGGCAAGGTTGGGGATAACACTTGCATTTGATACAGCTACTTAACACGTCTTTGAGACGTCTCAAATCGCTTCGTAGAGTACACTGTAAAGTGAATTGACTGTATATTTTGAGGGCGAAAAACCTGTGTGGGGTTACTTAATACACTGAACATTAATGATATTTCAGGCAGTACTCCATGGTACTGTTGATGGACCAGCTAGTTTGGCTCTTTGGCAAGACATGGAAGAGCAGACCGGTCGCTGGGGGCTGAGATTCTTCCCACTTGGCTCCATGTAACACTGCAAGTCAAAGCACTGACTGGTAGAGTGATCCAAGCTGAACACACAGTGGGTTGCTAGCCAGTCCTTGGTAGGCTGTGCGGATCATAAGAAAACAGAAACAGGAGGAAGCCATTCAGCCTATTGAATCTGTTCCACAAGGTTATTAGAGCTTGGGAATTTTTTTAATCCCAGTGACCTGCCTTTTCATCATATCTCTTTATACTTCTCTTCACAAAATATCTGGTGAATATCTCCCCCTTTAAACAGCCCTATTGAGTCAACCTGGGGAAGAGCATTCTACATCTTCACAATCCTCTGTGTGAACAAATGCTTCCTGCTCTGAGTTCTAACCATCTTGGAAGAAATATTAATACTTTTTCTCTGTTAACTAATTCCAGAACTCTTATTAGTTAGTTCTAATCTTACAGCATGTATCTTTCTTTGATTATATTAACCTGTGCCTGAAGCAAAAAACCAAATTAATTCAGAGGTGTTGGAGTCTGTTGGATTTTTTTGTGCTGTGCAAATGTGATTTTGTTGTATCAAATTGTGAAATGTGTAATAGTTAAAAAACGTTGCATTTTCCATTTATTTCCTAAATCCTGATATGGAACACTCACTGTGTTCAGGACAATGGTTCAGCTGGAGATTTTCAACACCATATCTTGGTGTATTGTGTCTGATATACAGCTGCCTAATTATACCATCAGTTCTTATTTCCAACCCAGGAGCATAACGATTCAGGTTGATTTCACAGGAAATAAATTTAATTCAATCTGCTTTGGAATAAACCAGTATCTTGTGATTGACTGAAAGTGAGCTCTTCACAGGCAACTTCATTGACAGTGCTGAAATCTTCAGGATTAGGCTGAAGTTGGGGTGTGAAGCTCAACCACCCCAACTTTATTCCAATTGCTGGGCTCAAAGATTTCCAGGCTGCCACGGTTGTTTTTGAGGGAGAAGGGAAGGAACACCAGGTGTTCAAGTGCTGTTCTTTAGGAATTCATGGAAATACAAAATGGTTCTGTTATTAAAATGTTGCAAGTCACACACCAAATGCTCCCCACTAATGCTGGGTTCTCAATTTCCTTCATTGCAGATTATTCTCCAGGCCAGTGTCACAGCAATGGCCAATTCCTTTGTCGTTATTGATGACATTACATTAACTCCGGGATGTGCTGTGTCGAATGCACGGCTGCCTAATTCCACCACGGATCACAAAGGTACGTTTCAAAGATATTTGTTGTTTAGTAGTGTTTATTACTGTAAAAGAGAAAGGAATTCCTCCTGGTGTTCTAGCCAACAATCCCTCGAATAATATTGTCACTCAGTTCATGGATATTTGTGGAACATTGCTCTGCACAAATTGGTTGTTGCATTCACCTACAAAATGCACAGTCACTACACTTACAGTAAATCCTGAGAAATGCTTTGACGACATGATAAGACATTATCTCAAATGCAAGGATTATTCATTTACATAAACTGCATAAGGTCAAATGTGGTGTTCTAAACACATTCTTCTGGGGGATGGGGGGTTTTCAAATATTACAGTGTATGTTAACCTTGATATCTCACTCAAATGCCTGTGTGAACCTTGACAGTACAGAGTGCTTGCAGACTGCTTGGCTAACATCCATCCTGTTTCCAGTGATCAGGCAAGAGAATGAGAGTCCTGGTTAATTTTTCTCTCTCTTACCTAGCAGCACTAATGCCAATTGTAACACCCTAACACTGCTGCAGTTAAGATCAGTCCAGTCCAACAACAACAAAATTACATTTATAGAGCGCCTTTCACGTTGAGAGGATGTCCCAAGGGGTCAGGACCTGAGCATGGGGGAGAGGTGGGGCAGGGGTGAGGGAAGGCAGAGAGGTGGGAGGGTGACCAAAGGCACAATCGACGAGGAGGCTTCTTGAGACCGGCCTTGCAGGAGGCAAGGGAGGAAGTGAGGTGAAGGCACTGTGAGATGGAGTTCCAGAGTGTGGGGACAGAGAGGCTGAAAGCCCGGCCACCGATGGTAGGGCGGGTCGTGCGGGAAACCGGGAGCAGGCTGGAGCCTGCTGAACAGAGGGAGCGGGTAGGTTGGTAGGGAGTCAGAAGGTCAGAGAGCTAGGAGGGAACAAGGCCATGGATGGCCTTGAAAGTGAGAACGAGGATCTTGAATTCAATCCCCTGGGGGATGGGGAGCCAGTAGAGTCAGGCGAGGGTGGGAGTGATGGGTCACAGAGCCCGGTGCACAAGAGTACACGAGCTGCAGAGTTTTGGATGATCTGCAGCTTGTGAAGGGAAGAGTTGGGAAGGCCGATGAGGAGAGAATTTCCATAATCGAGCCTTGATGTGACGAATGTGTGGGTGAGGGCTTCGGCAGCCTGAGGGGTGAGGCAGTAGCAGAGTCTGGCAATGTTGCGGATGTGGTGGTAGGCAGTGCCGGTCATGCCATGGATGTGAGGGAGAAAGGACAGTTCGGGGTCAAACAAGACAGGTTCCTGACTGGCTTAGTGAGGCTGAGTGTGCAGCCGTGGTTGCAGATGCTGCCAGTCCAGGGAGTGAATCTGGGACCTTTCTCGTCTGGATGGTTCAATTACTCATGGGATAATATTATTTTAAAAACAGCTCTCTCCTCACATTTTGTGGGAACATTTTTGAGTGCCATTCTGAGCCGTTGAATCAAATTGCATTGTGTTTAGGGGATAATGGCCTCTTTTCTCTGGTCAGCCGGGTGTCTTGACAAGTGAAGGAAACCATCACCAGGCTTAAGAGTATCCAAACCAGACTAAAAATTCTGTGTATTCCATCTGCACATGGAAATTCCTAAAATATTTATTGGAATATTCCACCTACACATTCCACCTACACATGGACATCCCAGAGATAGATTGTTGGAGTGAAATGCGCACTCTCTCCCTGGAGGGACACATCCTGCTTACCTAATTCCGGAAATTATTAGATGCAGGTTGGCAAGAGCCGAGGCTTGGTGACCCCAGAGTGTGTGTTGGAGCACTGCTGGAAATTAACCAGCTAAACCCACTTGCCATTGATAGTTTAGTCACCTCAGCTTGCAGGGGCTTCTCCCACTCTCACAATTGCAAATGGCATCCTACCAACTTCAGCAATTTCAGACAAGTGTTTTGGAATCCCAGAATTTTTACCCCAATATTTCTTCTTTCATTTTGACAGATCATGGGAAGTTTCTCTTTCTCGCCACCAACTTGCACGGGGACCAAACTGGGTTGACGATTAATGCAGATGATGTGGCTTGTTTGGGTCGAGTCACGGATAATCCTTCAGCTGTTTTCACAATTTCCTCACCTGGCTTGTACCAGACATGGTACAGACCGTCTCCCTGAAATCTGTATTGAAGAGCCACTTCTTTTTAGTCCACTCTCAGGTGGACTCGTCGGATGAAATAAAATTATTTATCAAGCAAGAATCACCGGGCGACACTGATGTAGTTCAGGCTTCATTTTGGTTACTGAAGAGTAAATGGTTTGAAGGATATGATGCTCTGGAAGCGGTCAGTCTCCCAGGCTACTTTGTCCGACACAAGAACTCTCACATCTTATTGGCGAAGGATGACGGTTCAGAGAGTTTCAAACAAGAAGCCAGCTGGAAAGTGCAATCAGGTGCTTGCAGTTCCTTTTATGTTTCAAGCACCAGGTGGGCTTTGAGGTCATAGTGTTGGCTGGCCATCCCGCACAGTGCTGGGGCAGCACTATATTATTGTAAGATCCGACCTTCGGATGAGACATTAAACCTGAGATCCCACCTGCTACCTCAGCTGTAGCTTAGTGCTGTGAGTTGCTATCCAGAGTAAAGGATGTTATATAAACGCAAGTTGTTGTTCAAGAGACCAAATGACTATTGGAAATAGAATGAAGTTTCTCCCAGTGTCCTGGCCAACAAACCTCCCAATAAAATCCTCCAGATTCTCTGTTAAATATGGAGGTCTTCTGGATCGTCACTTCCTTGTTGTGTATTTTGAAGTAACACAGGGTGTGAGATATTGGACCCAGACCACGGCATTATAATGGGGTTGGCTTGTAAATACCTCACGGTTTGAAGAAATGGTAGAGAATTTTTCAGTGAAACGATGACAAGCTTGGGTTTTAAACGCCAGTAGGTTAGCAGAGGATAGGGAGTTGGAGGGAGGTAATGGTTCCAACTTAGAATACCTCTGTTTGCAGTCCACAATGCTGCAACAACAACAACTTGGATTTATATAGTGCCCTCCACGCTGGACGGCGTCTCAGAGCGCTTTACAGTAAAGGATCCCAGAACTGAGCCAGGGGGAGGGAGGGGAAGGCGGTCGAAAGGAAACTTCTTCAGCAGAGACCTGAAAATGGGAAGGGAGGGAGCGAGGCGAGGGGAGTGAGGAAGGCAGTTCCAGACCCTCGGGGCATAGTGGCTGAAGGCACGGCTGCAGAGGCTGAAGCAGAGGACTCGGGGGACGAGGAGGAGGCCAGACCCGGAGGAACGAAGGCAACGGGTACTGTTTTGAGGAGAGAAGAGGTCAGAGAGGTACGGGGTTGCAGAGGAGTGCATGGACTTGAATACAAGGATGAGGATCTTGAAATCGATCCTCTCTGGGATAGGCAGCCAGTGCAGTCTGGCCAGGACTGGGGTAATCGGGGAGTGGAGTTTCGTGCGGGTGAGAATGCGGGCACCAGAGTTTTGAATGCTCTGTGAAATATATTTCAATCGGATTGAAATGTTATTGCACCTCATTGCAAATGTATGATTTGTCATTGAAATCATACATTTGCACCTCTAATTTATTTAATTATTTTGTTGTTTTACTCCCAACAGCAATCTTTTCAGCCCCCGTGCCTCCAACAAATGTCTGTCCCCAGCATTTCTTCTATTGTCACAACGCAGGTTGCATCCCGGCCACTAAATACTGTGATTTTACTGCTGACTGTCCGGATGGAGATGATGAAGTCTCTTGTGGTAAGTAATAAAACAACAGTGGTTCTGGGGTAATAAACCCTTCAAATAAATAAATAAATAAATAATTTTTAAAAAGAATAATTGGGTCACTCAATCCATGACAATTTATGGACACTACTGTGTGCAATTGGCTGCTGTGTTTCATCCACAAAGTATACAGTCACTTTACAGTAAAGGCGCTCTATAAATGTAATTTTATTGTTGTTGCTGTGTTGAAAGACTATTAATCTTTGGTTTGCATTAGCTCTCTGAGGGTTTAAGTTGTAGCAGACCCTAATGTAATTTCTTAACATTTACCTACATATGCATAGTCACTGCACTTCACATTAAATCCTGTGAAATACGTTTAGGCATTTCAAGCATTTCAGCCACATAGAGCAAGGATTTTTATAATTCTGATGATAATAATAATAATACTAATCCTTGTATTTGATATAGCTCTTTTCACATCGGGAGGACGTCCCAAAGAGCTTCACAGAACACACTGTAAAGTGAATTGACTATATATTTGTGGGTGAACGCGGCAGCCAATTGCGCACAGCAATGTCCCACAAACAGTCGTAGATTGAAAATGACCAATTTATTATTGTTTTTGGTTTTGGAGGGATTATTATTAGGCGTGTGGAGTAAGGAAACTTGCCCAAGGTTTCGCCCTGACCTGCCTGGAATTGAACTCAGGTCTCTCGCTTGCAAAGCGAGTGCTCTAACCACTGAGCTACAGGACTCCACGATGATGATTTTTAATGCCATCTCAGTAACGCCACTGCAATGAAATCAACTTTCAGAGTGAAATTCCCACTTGTGATCGATGTGTGTGATGCATAGTTGGTTACCGGAAGGAGTTTCTACTCAGATTCCTTATTCCTTGTTAAAAACTGCCTCAATTTGAACTTCAAAGTCACAAACTTTGGAACAAAGTAACCCAGACTCAAGTTCAAAAGAGAGAAAATGAACAAACAGTTCAATTTGATTTACGATAGAGCCCCATTATAACACAGTTTTTGGACTCCATAAAATATCACCGCTGCAGAAAGGCACAATAGTGTGTTTTTCCTGAGAGCTGACCTGCTTCCGCTGGCTGGTTCCTCAATGTGCAGCAGGATAGCGACCTAATGACTCGGAAGTCATCCATTTACAACAACAACAAATTACATTTATATAGCACCTTTCACTTCGGGAGGATGTGCCTAGGGGTAGGGTTAGGAGGGTGAAAAGCTAGTCTTGTTCAGGAAGTGAATGGGCCGACTGAACACGTGCATAATGAATGGGGGGGCCACAGTGCAACCATGTTATGTGGTCTACAAATCCCTTCACACCTTGACACCTCCCGACCTTTCTGACCTGCTTTCTCTCCACTCCACTACCCGCTGCCTCTGCTCGGCTGGCTCTGGCCTCCTGCTTGTCCCTCGTCCCCTCTGCTCCACCTTCAGCAGATGCACTTTCATCCACGACGCCCCAAAGCTTTAGAACTCTCTCCCCCAGTCCCTGTGTCTTGTTCTATCAGCTTGTATCGCGTACATCAGGGCCTGGATGAGTACAAACTTTCTGCAGCTGAATGTGCACAATTTGGAAGCTATACTCATTGGCTCCTGTCAACGTCTTCACTTCTGCGGATCTGAACTCCTCAACCTTCCAAGGCTCTCCCTCTGACTCATCGACCCAGTGCGCAATCTAGGTGTCCAGTTCAACCCACAGCTGTCCTTCCGACCCCACATCTGGTCCCTGATCAGGACCGGCTTCTTCCTCCTCCGCCACATTGCCCAACTCTGACCATACGTCAAACCAAATGCAGCCAAAACCTTCGTGCATGCGTTTGTCACTTGCCGCCTGGATTACTCAAACGCACTCCTCGCCGGTCTCCCCACCTCCTCTATTCAAAAGATCCAGCTCATTCAGAACTCTGCTGCCCGCATACTGACCCGGACCAAACTCCATACCCACATCTCACCAGTTCTGGTCAAGCTCCACAGGCTCCCCATCACCAAATGGATCGACTTCAAGATCCTCACGCTTGTGTTCAAATCCTTTCACTCTCTGGCACCTCCCTACCTCTCTGACCTCCTCACTCCCTATTCGACTGGCACCGGCCTCCTGTTCATCCCTCACACCCTCCGCCCCACCATCGGAGTTCACACTTTCAGCCACTACACCCCAAAACTCTGGAACACTCTCCCTCAATCCCTCTGCCTTAACTCCGCTCTCCCCTTTATCAAGTCCGCCTAAAAACCTTCCTCTTCGACCGCCCATACGGCCACCTCACCCCCTCCCACCCCCACGGCTCGGAGTCAGGCTCCGCCACTGTTAAGCACTCTGAGACGTTACCCTGCATGGAGGGCGCTACATAAATGCAAGTTGTTGTTGCTTTGCCCCCTCTTTCCCATGTTTCAAATCATCACTGAAGCCCTTCCTCTTTGACCGTGCTTAAAGTCGCCTCCTCCCTCATGCCAGCTTGGCGTCAGGCTTCACCACTGTTAAGCGTTCCGAGATACTGCCCCCGGTCACTATATAACTGCAAGATGTAAATGTAAAATGAATCTGCGCTATAATAAAGCGTGATATAATTGGGTTGCACTATATTTGATACAGAGAGCGGTTATTATGTGAAATTGACTACCGAGTGAGGCAGTAGAGCCAAATTGTGTCAGCAAATTCAAGAAGGAATTAGATAGCTATATGGGGGAGAGAATAATGTAGGATTTTATTTACTTTGAAGCAAGCCAAATGGATTGCAATGCTTTTCCTGGAACTGTGTATGAAGCTCTGTTATCGATATATGAATACAGGAATTGAAAGTCCTGGCAATGCACAGCGGTCAATCAGGATCTGAAGAGAAACATAGTTTGACATTTTGAAAGTAATTCTTTATCAGATTTGGTGCATGTTCCACGTGCTATTACATTCATTTAAAAATATAATGAAAGCACATTACAAAACAATCGATCTACTAGCCATGGTAATAATTATAACCCTTCCATTTGATATAGCACCGTATCACATCATGAAAATGTCTCAACACATTTAATATAAATAAGAATTTGATATAGCACCTTTCATATCAGGAGGACATCTCAATTTGCTTTACAGAATTCTCAGTAAAGTAAAATTAATGACTGTGTATTTTGTAGACAAATGAAACAGCCAGTTTGTTTCAGCAATACCCCCCACAAACAGCTATGAAACGAATGACCAATTTTAACTGGAGGATTGTTGGCCAGGACATTGGGAGAAATTCCCTTCTCTTTTCAAATAGTGTCATGGGGTCTTCAACAACCACTATAACAGGCAGACAACACATCTGAAACGAAACACCTCACACACTGCTCTCCCCCAGCACTGCAAAGTGCCTGTCTAGACTATGAACATGGACATTGCTGAAGTTGGAAGCCATCCTTCCTGGCTCCCATCAATGTCTTCTCACTTGTGCTTCTGAACTACATAACCTCCCCTCCCTATCCTATAGACTCACCAAAACAGTACACAACCTTGGCGTCAGATTTGAATCCCCAGTTATCCTTCCTATGCCACATCCGGTCCCTGACCACAACTGCCTTCCTCCATCTCCACCACATGGATGCCTTAGCCCCTATCTTACTTCAAATATTGCTGAAATTTTCATTTATGTTTTCGTCACCTTCTACCTTGATTTTTCCATGCAATCCTTGCTGGTCTCCCAGCTCCACTATTAACAAGGTTCGAATGATTCAAAACTCTGCAGCCCATGTCCTCACCTGTACAAGGCTTGGCACTCACACCACCCCAATTCTTGCCAGGCTCCACTGACTCCCTATTTCTGAATTGATTGCTTTCAAGATCCTCACTCTCACTTTCAAATCACTTCATGCCCTGGCACCTTCCTACCTCTCCCATCTAGTCACACCGCACTCCTTCACCTGTCACCTTCGCTCAGCTGGTACTGGTCTGCTTCACATCCCTCGTCCTCTCCGCTCCACAATTAGCATCCATGCTTTCAGCCAATATGCCCCAGGTCTCTGGAACTCCTTGTCTTGATCCCTCTGTCTTGCCTCCTTTTTGCCTGTCTTTTAATCACACCTGAAGATTTCCTCTTTGACTATGCCTTCAGTCACTACCCCTCTTTTTCCAGCCTAACATCAAACCAAGTTTTAAGTGCTGTTAAATGCTCAGTGAGGCTACCCATGTGAAGGGTGCTATATAAATGCAAGTTGGTGTTGTGAACTATGAGCTCGAAGTCTTAACATTGGGCTTGAAGTTGCAATCTTCTGACTCAGAGGTGAGAGTGCTACCAAATGAATCAGACTGATATACAATAGTAATTGCAATGATAAATTACCAAAATAATGACAAGCCTCAGAAGGAACCTGGCCTGGATTAGATAAAATTTAATTTAGAAAACAATTCAGTGAAATTCACTTACTACTGTTATTAATTTTAATTATGTGAACAGCACTGGGATTTTGTATCGTCAGTGCTTTTTTGAAGTATTAATGATATTAATTACATAAAAAACAAAATGATTGCATGTTCACAGTGATAATTATTCCTTGAGTATAAAAATATGACCAACAAGTAAAATGAATGTCATTATTTTTCATTAGAGTGTTTGTAAGCATTGTAGGTATGAGACAGATTTGAAGAAAATAGGCCAAGAGATACACTGTTTAAACAAGGCTTCAGCATATTCATTCCTGGCAATCTCGAGTCATCTCTGTATTGTAATGTATGAAAATAGGGTACAAACCACATTTATAATAATAATCCTTCCATTTGATATAATGTCTTATCACATTATTGAGACGACTCAAAGCGCTTCACAGAATATACTGTAAAGTGAATTGACTGCATATTTTGTGGGTGAAACGCGGCAGCCAGTTGCGCACAGAAGTGTCCCACAAACAGTCACGGATTGTTTTTATTTGTTTATTTATTTTTATTTATTTGTTTTGGATAAACAACTAGCAGGATCACAGACAAATGACTGCAGGGTGAGACGATGGATACTTTTTCAAGATTATAACTGGAATTAGTTCTTCAATACGGGTAAAGGTTTCAAGCATCGGAAAAAGCAAGTTAAAATATTAATAAATTAGATGTTGGGAACACCAGGTTCAAACCAGTGAGGTAGCCCATCATCTTCAGATGTAGAATCATTGGGATCTATGACCCAGGGATGATAGATACTTGGGAAGTGACAGTATTAAGGGACGTGTAGGTAAGATGGAGAAAGGATTATGCAATTATCTAATGATAGATAGGCGCAACTGGTTGAATGGCCAATTCCTGTTCCTTAGAAGGGAAGTCAAGTGAAAATGTTTGTACACAAAAGATAATAGATGTGTGGAATAACACACAAGCAAAGATCAAGAAAGTAGAATGGCCACTTGGTTAAGTATCTGCAATCAATCAGTGGCTGTGGAACTGTACTCCCGTGGTGTCTTCAGTGGAGTTTTTTTATTCATGCTGCTATCCTAGTTGTAAGAGTTATTCAATCCCAGGGATAGGGGCGTTTTCTGCTGTTGCTGAGTCTAAGTGCAGCGAAATTAATAGGACTTTGAATTTTAAAGTGTGATATTAGGGTCTGCCATGCACTGATTACATATTCCATAACACAAAAAAGTTAGAAGAGCGTAGAAGAGCAACAGGAATAATCCCTAGTGTTGGAGGAATGAGTTATGAGCCATGATTGGAAAGGTTTGCGCTCTTCTTTTGCAAATTATGGAATCCAGTCTATCCTATGAAAACTGGCTTCAAAAATTACGGATGCATTTAAGAATATAACAAATTTTGTACACAATGAAATTATAAGTCAATAGAATAAATCTAGCCCAGGTGGAATTTCCAGTCACTAATATTTGTTAACAGATTCAATATGTTACGAAAGATAGCATCTTTCACCCTAAATAGAACAAAATGTACAACAGCAACAACAACAGCAACTTGCACTTATATAGCGCCCTCCATGCAGGGTGGCATCTCAGAGCGCTTAACAGTGGCGGAGCCTGACTCCGAGTCAAAAGGGCGGCAGGTGGCCGTAAGCACGGTGGAAGAGGAAGGTTTTCAGGTGGGACTTGGAAAAGGGGAGAGAGGGGGCAAGGTAAAGGGATTGGGGGAGAGTGTTCCAGAGTTTCGGTACGTAATGGCTGAAAGCGTGACCTCTGATGGTGGGCGGCGGGTTCAAGGGATGAGTAGGAGTTGCCAGTCGAGCGGAGGCACCGGGTGGTGGATTGGGGAGTAAGGAGGTCGAAAAGGTAAGGAGGTGCCAGGGATTGAATGGATTTGAACATGAGTGTGAGGATCTTGAAGTCGATCCATTCGGTGATGGGAAGCCAGTGGAGCCTGGCCAGAACTGGTGAGATTTGGGTATGGAGTTAGGTCCGGGTAAGTATGTGGGCGGCAGAGTTCGGAATGAGCTGGATATTTTGAATAGTTCGGGAGTGCATTTGAGTAAACCAGGCGGGAGGTGACAAACGGGGGCGGGAAGAGAAACCATTTGTCGAGATGAAATGGAGGCGGTTGGTTGTTAAGAAGGACTCGAACCATTTGAGTGTGGTCCCACTAAGGTGAATGAGGGAGGAGAGGCGATGGAGGAGGATGGTGTGGTAGATTGAGAGGACATCGTTTGTGATTTTGACAAGCACTATCTCTGTGCTGTGGGCATGGCGGAAGCAAGACTGCAGGAGCTCGAGGAGGGAGCATTACTTAATAGTACTTAATATTAGAAATTGTTAGTTGGAGAATTACATTCTGAATGAAAAGCCAAGCCCCTCCCCTAGTTATTAATTCTCTTTTAAATATTTTCCAAAGAAATGGATGTAAGTGATAAAGGAAGACACCACCAGATTTTAATAGAAAATAGAATTATCCTCTTCTATCAGCTTTTCTTAACTAGACAGGAACAAATGTGCCTTGAATGATACCTCATCCATCAGTTTCTTTCCATAATTGGTGTGAAATTGCGCTTTAGCGGATATCATTATCAATAACAGATAAAACTATCTTCACGATCGCGTCAGTGAACTAACTAACCAGAACATGCAGAAAATGTGAGCGAATAGACTGTGGGTTGATTCTCATGAGAGTAGAATCCTAAAAGGGCTGGAAATTCACCCTGAGCACATGGCAAGATTCTAATTTACATTACGCATCTCTCTTCGTCACTTTCTGATACCAAGAAGTGTAAAGCTTCAAGGCATTTCCTTCTGGGGTTATACATAAAGTGAACCAAACACATCAAATGCAGCACCTCTAAAGTGAGTTTCTAAACTGTCCACGAGATAAACAGGTACACCAAAGTGTTTTTCTTTTACGGACACCGACTGAAACAGGTTACCAGAAAGGGTAGTTGAGGTCAGAGCACTGGATTCATTTAAGCAACACTTGTTGCTGTGATGGGAAGATGGAAGGGTGGATATTCTGGAAGGATGAGATCAAATAGGCCAAAGGGCCTTCTACACCTGAACTGATCTTGTGATTGGAGTGAAAGTTGTAGCAAAATGGGTAAATTACAGAAAATTCCACCCAGCCGATGCCATTATTGGACTAGCTGGCCTGGTCTTGGAATGTGATTTTAGTGTTGATCAGAGAGATTAGCTACACTCAACCCCCCAAAAAATTGTTAGTGTGGAATTTCTATCAAATGTGATTCTAACACATTCAGTGGTAAAACATCCATTCAGTGTTATGTAGAGCTCTTCTGGTGATATATGGCTTTAATGGGATTTTTATCTGTGTTTTACAGCCGCAACATGCACCTTTGAAGAGAATGACTGTGGCTGGTTTGAGAATATCCCCAGTGATGACTTTGATTGGATCAGAAGCTCAAGAAATGCTCTACCTTCAAACATCCAGAATCAAGTCCCAGCTCAAGACCACACCACCAATACATCCGACGGTAAGAGACTGGAATCAATCTAATGAGAACTTTAGTGGAGGTGGTTTTCTTCCACTATTTCTTAAAAACATTTCTCAACTCATTCAGGAAATAAAATTAGGGAAGAATTTATGATATTCCACCTTAGAAAGTTGCGGAAAAGACACTGACACCATGTGTAGTATCCAAATGAGAGTGCCACTTGAAGCTGAGATCTTCTGACCTGGATATCTCAATGACTTTAGCAACTGGGTCATGAAAGAACAACAACAAGATTACATTTGTATACATTTCATGTCGAGAGGACGTCCTAAGGCGCTGAAAGGAGATGGAGCTGGCAATCGTAGGGACGAGTTGATTGCAGCCAGACACAAGAGGAAGAGAAATGTATTGAGAAATTACAAAGGAGCATAGTTTTAAATTCAGACCCAAAACGATTAGAAGCATTTCTTTGCACAGAGGGTTGTGAAGATGTGGAACGCTCTGCCCAGAAAGCTGTAGAGACAGAATCAGTAGGGATGTCTAAAAGCAAGATAGACAGTTAGTATCCCATAACGCAGTAGTTAGCACACTTGCCTCACAAGCGAAAGGACCTGGGTTCGATTCCCGGGCGCTGCAAAAGCTTTGGCACGTTTCCTTACTCCACATGCCTCTGTTTACCTAGCAGTAAGTAGGAACCCGTTTGTCGATTGTTCAATTGCTTTCCGGGATAATCCCTCAAACAAAAATTGGCCACAAAGGCCCAAAATTCTCTGTGCTTCTACTTGCAAAGAACAGCAATATTAGAGCATCTGAAAATAAAAGCAGTTTCAGATGGCTGTCTCCAAGTTGATAACATTGTATATTTTGGCTGATTGTGAAGAACTAAGATGGTGACCAACATTTTAACTTGAAAATGCTCCTAAGGAGCAAACCGTTGTGTCAGGGGTAATAATTTGTCCAAAAAAAGAAAGTGACAATTAACAAAATTCTAAACCGTTAAGTAAACTGAATAGTTTTGGAAACATCTGTCTTTTATGTTTTATCTGATTTCTCACAGGCCATTTCATGGTTATTCTGAATAACAGAAGCAGCATCTCTCAGATTGCAGCCTTGAAGAGCCCTCAATTCAGTCAGTCAGGAACAGGATGCACCATGTCCTTCTGGTGAGAAAGATCGTCAACCTTACAATGACTTGACGACATATGGAGATGATTTGTTAAAGTCTTCCATGTCTCGGTCACCCTAAAAATTCCATCTTTAAAAGATTTTCTTATTAGCCTCCACACAACTCTGTTTGCCTATCAGTAACTAGGAGCCCGGTTGTTAGTCGATTGATGGATTGCTTTTCCGGGGGTAATAATTCCTTAAAAAAAAAATGGGTCACTTCAACACACGACTTTTGTTGGACATTGGTGTGTGCAATTGGCTGCCCCATTTTGACCACAAAAGATGCAAATCTATTCACTTTACAATATGTTCTGTGAAGCGCTTTGAAACGTCTCGAAGACGTGATGAGGCGCAATATCAAATGCAAGGATTGTTATTATTATTTAACATCTGAAGATATTACCTGGGGGTCTACATCTGCTATTGGCTGTTTTTTCCTGCAGGTATTACAATTATGGTCAGGCTGTAGGAGCAGCAAAAATGTACTTGGATGTGGAGGGGGTTCTGAATCGTACAGTGGTGTGGTGGACCTACATCACTCAGACCGATCGCTGGCAGCAGGCCTTTGTGCAGCTCGGACGCCTTCATCAGCCCTTCTGTCTCTCGCTGGTGAAAGTTAGCCTGAGTATTTACGATGGCGTGACAGCGATGGACGATATCAGGTTCATTAATTGCTCCCTCCCGCAAGCTGCTGTGTCTTGTAACGGCCCCGATCATTTCTGGTGTAAAGAGACCAGAGCTTGCATCGACCGATTGCACGTTTGTGACCTCCTGGACGATTGCGGTGATGCTTCTGATGAAGAAAACTGCCGTAAGTGGAACCTAGTATTTCAACATAGCCTTTAATGTCTGGTAACCCATCCGATCTTTTATGTTTGACTTAAAATTTTTTAAAATTATTTGAACTGCACATAAAAGGTCCTATTGATTTATTTTTCCCTAATTGGAGTCTTTAATACAGCAACTGAATTTGCAATATTTCTTACCAGGCTTCTTAATAAGGAATCGAGTCATGTAAATGGGTTGCTTTCTGTTAACTAGAACACCTGATCGCATCTTTAAAATGTTTCAAAGCACTTCGAGGGTTATTCTGTAAAGTGGAGTGACTGTGTGTTTTGTGGGCGAAATGCGGCAGCCAATTTGTGCACAGCAATGCACTACAAACAACTATGAAGAGAATGCCAAATTTTATTTGGAGAATTGTTGGCCAGGATGGTCAAATACGATAGTTCCTAAGCTGCTTGGATCTTGGAAATGGAATGCCAAAGAAGGCGAGTGATCGATGCTGAGTAATGTCGTACAGAAGGCTGGGAGGTTTGCTTGGTTTACATATTGAGAAGCAGGGAGAATATTTTTGTCAGGGGGTCACATGCTTTGAGATAGAGGGGTCTAGTTTGTGATGCTTCTTAATGGAATTCCTTAATCTTGTTTCCACAATAACACTCAACCATAGCAGCCAAAGGACAGTTGAGCCTTCCCAGTCATTGCATCCCTTGAGCCAGATGTTGTGAAGAACACCATCCATGGAGCTCCAAAGTTTGTGGAATTCACTGCTGCAAATTGCATTTGAAGCAAAAAGCATCAATGTATTTGAGAGGAAAGGTAATATGGAGATGGTAATAGAGAGGTATAGGAGAGGGGAATAGGCAGGGTGAGGCTCATATGGAGTTAACCACTGACATGGACTTATTGGGGAACAAACTGTTTTTGTGTCACCATTCCACAGAACATGAGAGTTGTACTGAAGATTGATTTGTCTTTGAAAATGATTTTTTCTTAAGATATTCTATGTAATAAAGAATTTGAGTCACGTAAATGAGGACTCCTTCTGGTAACTGGAAGTGGGAATTCCACTCTTACGCAATCTACTTACCTCTTCAACCTATTTGTTCGACCACGCCTATGGTCACCTCAACAACAACAACGTGGATTTATATAGCGCCCTCCACGCTGGACGGCATCTCAGAGCGTACCTCCCTCTTCTCCCATACTTGGCGTCCTATCCTAAAAAGTGCTCTGGGATGCTTTCCTGTGTCAAGAGTGATAAATGCAAGTTGTTGCAGTGCTTAAGGAGCAGAGTTCCCACAGGCAAAAGATTCTAGCTGTATTCCTTATTAAAACATACCTGCATAGTGGATACCTAGAGAGTGTATTTAATAATCAAAATATAATAGTTATAGTCCTTGCATTTGATATATTCCCTGATCACGCTTTTGAGACATCTTCACAGGATATACTATAAAGTGGATTGCACTATGTATTTTGAACAGAATTGGCATTCTACTGCGTTCTTACATTCTCATTAAGCAAATAATTGTACATGTTTATACAGCTTTAAGTTTTGTTAACTCAATATCCTGTCTTTTGCAGGGAGCAATCTGCTATGTGATTTTGAAAATGGGTTGTGCAACTGGGAGCAAGCCACAGAAGATGATTTTGACTGGACAAGAAATAGGGGTCAAACTCCTTCACTCAACACCGGACCGTCGAAAGACCACACATTTGGAACAGCACAAGGCCATTACTTTTACATAGAAGTTTCTGAGCAACAATTTGGAAACACAGCTATGCTTGTGAGCCCAATCCTGGAGGCCACCACCAATAACATCCACAAGACCTGCATTTTTCGCTTCCACTACCACATGTTTGGAATGCAGATTTTTAGACTGGCTGTGCACAAGAGGATTTACAGCAATACAAAGGGGGCGCAACTTTGGGTGAAATATGGAAACTATGGTAATGCTTGGCGAAGAGAGGTCCTATTTATCAACAGTTCTCAACCATTCCAGGTAGGACTCTTTCAGTAACAACAACAAATGGCATTAAATTAAATTTGTACAGCGCCTTTAACATTGGGAGGACAAAGTGACATAGATACATGTAATTGGCTGCCGCATTTTGCCCACAAAATACAGTCACTACACTTTACAGGATATTCTGTGAAGCTCTTTGAGTCGTCTGGAAGATATGATAAGGCACTATATCAAATCCAAGGATTAATATTATTATTTATGCATATATATTATTATATATGATATAGATGAGGTAAAATTCCACCCTGGTTTAGACTTATTCTTTTAAGAATTAAGTTATCTATTTCAGAGAATTTGGCAAACTTTTAAATACCGCATAAATTTTGAAGCCGGTTTCTGTAAGATCTTCCAAGAACTGCAGAAAAACAACTTCAAAGTTAAAACCGAATTCTGCAATTTGCTAGATTCTGTACCCTTTGAAATGCTATGTTAATAAGATTTAGAGCAATTCTACCCTGTTTCCCTTAGGGTGGACAAACACATTAGATTTACTGCCTGCTTAACAAATAGTGCAGATGAACTGGCAGCCATTGATGGTGCAAGTTCGCTGGATTGTTTCTGACTGCAGAGCAGCTACTTAATATAAGGATCACAAAGACATTTTTGAATGGCACGATTGTCTCAGGGGGGAAGAAAAATCATATAACCCCTCAAGGGATATTCAAATCCGTAGTACCTAATGAAACAATAAATTGTCCACATTGCTTCAACGGTGTAACTAATTATTGTTGCTTTTTAATTGATTTGTGTTAACGACAGAGAGGAAGAGAAAGAGAGAACTGCTATTCAGTTCTGTGTGCAGCAGGCATCTTAAAAAACGCATTTGTTTTCTTTTCAAGTCATACAGTCATTGTAATGACTTGTAAATACAGTCATTGTCATTGCAATCACTGTATTTTTATACAATCATTGTAATGACTGTATGAAAATGTACCTTATATTTATCAATCTTACTTGCTATTTTTCTCAGTGATGGTACCATTAACACTGGCGGATTATGATTGCGTGATGTAACAGGGTCACACTGTGCTGCACACAGTATTGAAAGCAAAGCTATCTGTAGCCTATTTATCCGAAACAAGGAATTCAATCACCAACAGAGAAGTGAGCACCCGTCTCCTCTTAATCAAGCCTACGACTAGTGGAGCATAAGGAGAGGTTTGCTATTGCTTATGGAAATGGAATGATTTTCCATAAGGGGCTATTAGAGCAGGGTTGGTTGGGGTATTTAAAAAAGAATTGGATAAAGTACATGTAGGGTTATTAGAGGGCACAGGGAAAGAGTAAGAAATTGTGATTAAGTTGGGTGGCTCTTGGCAACACTGACACAAAATGGCCTCCTACTGTGTTCTTATCCATATGCCTCTGGGTGATGTCATCGGCAGACCCGGGGTAAACTTCCACATGTATGTGGATGACACACAAATCTACTTTGCCTCCGCCAGTACCAACTCCAGGTCCAACAATGTTCTCTCAGCCTGTCTGGCAGACATCAGATCCTGGATCATAGAATTATACAGCACAGAAGGAGGCCATTCAACCCATCGTGTCTGTGACGGCTCTTTGAAAAGAGCCATCCAATTCGGATCTGAACTCCTCAACCTCCCTGGGCTCTCCCTCACACTCACCGAACTAGTGCGCAATCTAGGCATCCGGTTCGACCTCCAGCTGTCCTTCCTCCGTTACATCTGGTCCCTGACCAGGACCGCCTTCTTCCACCTCTGTCACATTGCCCTCCTCGAACTGTACCTTCACCCAAATGCAGCCAAAACCCCCGTGCATGTGTTTGTCACCTCCTGCCTGGATTACTCAAACACACACCTTGCCAGTCTCCCCAGCTCCACCATTCAAAAGATCCAGCTCATTCAGAACTCTGCTGCCCACATACTTACCAGGACCAAACTCCATACCCACATCTCACCAGTTCTGGGCAGACTGCACTGGCTCTATATCACCGAATGGATCAACTTCAAGATCCTCACACCCATCTCCAAATCCCTTCACTGCCTGACACCTCCCTACCTCTCCGACCTCCTCACTCCCCAATCCACCACCCGGCATCTCCACTCGACTGGCACCGGCCTCCTGCTCGTCCCTCGCACTCTCCGCCCTATCATCGGAGGTCGCTTTCAGCCATTACGCCACAAAACTCTGGACCACTCTCCCTCAATCCCTCCACCTTCCTTTTCGATGGCCACCACACCCCCACCCACCTGGCTCAGAGTCAGGCTCTGCCACTGTTAAGCACTCTGAGACGCTACCTTGCATGGAGGACACTATATAAGTGCAAGTTTTTGTTGTACATTTCTGTAATTCATGTTCATTAATTTTGTTCATTCTATATAATTCCTGTCTCATAGTGGATCGATTTCAGGGTCCTCGCCCTCACCTACAAATCCTTCCACACCCTGCCATCTCTTTAGTTCCTATATCTCCAGCCACTGGAAATCCCTCCCTCTCTAACCCTCCATCTCGGCCCTTCTCTTTCTGCCTGAGTATCTTTTGTCAAATCCTACCTCTTCAAATGCGTCTATGGCCACCTCCCTCTCCTCCCCCTCCTCCTCCTCTTCTTTGCTCAGCATCCATGTTGGGAAAATGTCTCCAAGAGCTTTACAGGATATACTGTAAAGTGTAATGACTGTAATTTGTAAGTAAACTGGCAGTCAATTTGCACTCATCAGTGTCCCCAAACAGTCATGAAGTGAATGACCAATTTTATTTGAGCGATTGTTGGCCAAGACATCAGGAGAAACTCCCTTCTGTTGTTGAAGAGTAGCACAGGATCTTTAACATCCACCTAATAGGCAGGAAGGACCAAGGTTTAACGCCTCATCCCAACGACAGCAGCTCTCACCACTATACCATTGGAACTGCCCCCAGGGAGTTCTTTTTAATGACTGTGGAAACCAGCTTCCAAATTAAGCATAAATGTACGAATTTTCCACAATTCTGCACAATTGTTAATTTTAAGAGTAAATGTGCTTACAGTGCGAGACTAAATATAATTTCAGGCTTCATCATGTGCATAATACATGTTCACAGAATGAATTGGGTCCTCACAAGGAGACGAATAACTGGAGCCTAATATGCAGCTTTTGGGCTTACACTTATGAAAAACAATAATGAATTGAAGCCACGTTTCCCCCTTTATTTAGCATTGTTACAATACTTTACAAAGATCAATAATGAACATACGTATTTATTTTAGGTAAGGTTAAGTGGGCAATATATTGTTTAGAAGGAATCTTTAACAAGGGTGAGTTCAGTGGGTTCTCCTTAGAAATACTGTATCTGAATTTCTAAGAGAGGATGTTCTCTGTTGGGTATGGTACTTAGTTTAAGATGTTACTGGTAAATCAAAGTGAACAGATATTTATAGCGTTGGGTGCCGTCTATGAGCATATCGCCAATGCACATAAACTTGAAAATTAAAGCTTTAATGAGTTTAGACGCATTTGGGTTATTCAGATTTATGTTGTGGTTAATGAGGGTACCCTTTATTTCAGAAGACATTTTGTTCCACTTTTGAACTCAACGGGAAAGGGCACGAGTAACTATAAAGATATTCATGAATTGTTCTGAAATAATTAGATGTTAAAGGTATAATTTACTGTTGCTGGAATGAAGACAATTTCAAATAAATCTCAGTGTAGAATTACTGATTTCAAAGACACATTATTGCATGGCTTGCTCTCCTTTGAACGAAACTGTTCTGTAATTGTTTCTATTCTGACTTAAAACTGAAGTGGGGGCACTCATTGCAGGAGCAACAAATTGAGCTGAGAATTTGCATTTTCAGCTATATTATAGCACTTCTACCATTCTGGAGCTATTTGTAAATACACATAGAACAACACAGGGTCAAGATTGTATCTTATTTTAGTCTTGAAGACTGTTTTGTCCTAAAATTTAAGATTGGGTAGAAATGTGGAAGAATTTAAAATTTAGTGTTAATTTGGAAGCCCATTATTTTTAAGAAACGGGCAGTATTTCTTATCAACAGTTGTAACAAAAATGAACCTCCATCCCATTTGTCCCTTGCAAGTGGTCCAATCGATCGTTCACAATGATCAACAAAACACTGTTACTGTTATTTAAAGAGCTGGTAAGGTGACTTGTTTGATAAACTTGAAAAACTAATACTCAATATCGTGGCTTTGTTTAGGTGCTTAGTGCCTCCTCCCACCTTTTCACTGAGATAAGGAGGGTTAGGTATAAATCTGGCTTCACTTTGGTCCATTTGATCTCATCTTTCCAGAATACTCTTTTTGCCTTAGAACCATAGAAATGCTTAAGAACCACAGAATTTGGCCAATTGTGTCTGTATTGGCTGCCCAAGAGTAATCATTTTATTCCCATTACCTGCCCTTTCCCCATACCCCTATAGCTGCTTCTTTTTTTACATATTTGCTTGGTTCCCTCTTGAAGGGCAATATTGATTCTGTCTCAACCACTGCTCCCGACTGTGCATTCCATATCCTAACTACTCTGTGCGAAAAACATTCTCCTGACCTCCCCATTGGGTAGTTTACTAACTAATCATTTCCATTGGTCAATGATTTCCACACATTGACCAGTGGAAATCATTTCTCCCTATTTATTCTTTCAACCCCCCTCATGATTTTAAAAATCTCTAAACGTTCACCCTTCACCCTTCCTTGTTGGAGCAGAAAAAATCCCAATTACCCCGTCTGTCTTCATAGGCCAAACCACTCATCCCGGTATATCCTAGTAAACCTCATCTGCATCATCTTTGTCACCTTGACATCTTTCTAAAGTGGGGTGACCGATATTGGGCACAATATTCTAACTGCAGTCTAACTGACAATTTATATAAGCCTTTCCATATTCCCTCCGCACTCTGTTAATCCCATCCTTTCCAAGCTACACTACGTCCCAGAGCATCCTGGCTTCAAATCCTTTCACATTCTCACCGCTCCCTTTGCAACCTCTTTCAGCCCTATTCTCCTGGCCATTCCCTCCATTCTTCCATTTCTGGTCTCTTGTTTCTCACTCTCTCAATCTGATTATTGGGTCCTGGGGCTTCAGAGGGATTAACTCCAGTAAGGGAGTTAGCTCAGTGGGTCTCAGTGCTTTGGGGCTTCAGTTTTTATTATTATACCCCCAATGGATCATTTGTTTATTTCATTTGTCTATAAATGAACACTTACTGCACTTTTCAGTGAAGAACTTTGAGATGTTTTGAGATATGATAAGATGCTGTAACAAATGCAAGGATTATGATAATTATTCTGCATTTGTTTACCCGAGATTGTCCCCAAATGGACATCTCCAGTTCATTATGAAGGCTGAATTAGGAAATGGACAACAGATTAGTTTGAAAGAGATAAACATTTAGTGTGAATTTTCATCAAGTATTAGATTTTGTCAATCCTTGTTACTTATGATTTCAACGAAAATTTGAATTACTAGAAAAAGGACATCAAATTCCAAAATTCAAATAAGGCTTTTAAAACTTCAGAAGAAATGTAAACATTGATATCCATAGGTTAATTAATATTATACTATATAGTATAATAATCGTTGCATCTCATATAGCACCTATAATTTCACTGTTTCAAAGCACTAAGGTAATTCATGTCAAATGTAGTTTCTGTGTATATATACGTAAATAATAATAATCCTTGCATTTGATATAGCGCCTTTCACATCTTCTAGATGTCTCAAAACGCTTAACAGAATAGACTGTAAAGTGAATTGACTGTATATTTATGGGCGAAAGAATTCTTCCTTCACATTAGTGGTTTTGGCTGCTTTGTGAAGTGGTTTGTGAAGGATTTAGAGTCATAGAAAGTCATATTTTTGTACCGGTTAGCAGAAAAGCAAAGGAGCCTGCACTTCTAACTTTTGGAAAAAATACTATGGAATTATAAAGTATTGAAATATATTTCTATAGTTGATTTATTAGATAGAGGGAAATTGGAATTGTGCGCTATGTTCTTGCCTCCAGTGACATAATGCTTGAATAATATGTCTAAGGAGGCAAAAAGGATAGAAGTACTAATTCTGCCGTAAACCAAATAGAAGGTTTTTGCTAATGGAAGATATAAGATGTCAGGGTATCAGCAGTAAAATCCATATGAGGACAGGTAATAACTTCTAACAGTCATCTGGCTAAGCAGTATAATTTCCTATGCAGTACATATGATATAGTGGAGACACTACCCAGTAAATTTAACCCACAATCACTTGTCCAATGCAGACCTTTTAAAATCAGGGATTTAAATTAGTAATTCTGAAGCTTCAATTCATTTTGCTGCTATCAGTCGATCGGTAGTAATATTCTTGTCACATGTCCTGCCAATGCAGACTGTCAAGGCAAGGTTCCTCTGCAGCACTGAGGAGAATTAAAGAATTTACATTTGTATTTAAAAATGTTCTCTCATGTTCCTTCAGAGCAAAACACAGCTCAGTTTTGCAAAGTGGAATTGAAGGTATTTTATTATAAGATCAAATGGTACTGAATAACCTTCATCATTTTAAAACCTCTTGTGAACTTCTGAATTGAAACTGCACTCACACAAATCTGGTTCGCAAGCATTAAGGCTATATAACTTACTCTGCCCAACAAATATCAAGTGTTTTTGGAGAAACTACTTCATCTGTAAAATGTGTTTTATTTTGTTCAATATAACACTAACACTATTGATCTTTTTGTTCGCTAACACTATTGACCTTTTCATTTCACATTCAATTGATCAACAAGTGACTATTCCTCCTTGGGTGGGAGGTAACAACAACAACAAATTGTATTTTTACAGCGCCTTTCAAGTCGGGAGGACGTCCCAAGGCGCTGAGTGAGATCTGCTTAGAGCTGACCTGTCTCGAAGGTGATATGCTTGGTACCAAACGTCAGAATCGAGTTAACCATCTAAGGTGGTCTTGCTAGTCTGGTTCCTGAGCCTTCAAAAAAAACCAACCTTATCCAAAACATATTTCTCTTTCTGTTGTTCGAGGGATTAGCTTGAGGATAGAGCTTTGAATGCAATATTGTGTAGTGTCAAAGAAAAACAGAATCCCTGGGCTCCTCATCATCTAATAATTGTACCACACATTACTGAAGCAAATAAATTTACAAAGGTATAAGAGTTAGCCTTAAGATTTCATTTTAAGTAAGAGCTCATCTGATGAATGGATTGCAAACTAGTTCCTTCAATGTTACTGAGGAAAAAGTGTTCCCCAAAGTGTTGTAGTGTCCACGTCATGTCCCATATACGTTTGTTGTCGGCCTTCTTTAGTCGGTAGTATGTCTGAATCAGGAAATTGTAGCTGACAACAAAAAGTTAAATTTATATAGCATTTTTCACACAGGACAGCATCTCAGAGAGGTTAACAGGGCAGAGCCTGATGCCGAGCCAGGAAGGGGGGAGGATACTGAAGACATAGCCGAAGAGGAAGGGCTTCAGGTGTGAGGAGAAGGCAAGCTGGAAGGATGAGGAAGAGAGTTCCAAAGTTTTGGGGTATAATGGCTGAAAGCACGGCCAGCAATGGTGGAGCAGAGGAGACAAGGTCAGGACACTACCCCTTCAATTTAAAATACAAGGTTGAGGTCCACCTGAGTGACGACAGTGGGTAGTGGAGTGGGGTGTAAACAGGTCAGGAAGATAGAGACGTACCAGGGCATGAAGGGATTGGCACAATTGAAGATCTTGAAATCAATCTGTTCGGCATTGGGAGCCAATGGAGCTTGGCAAGGGCTGGGGTTAAGGGGTTAAGGAGTTTGGTGCAGGTGAGTATATGGACAGTGGAGTTTTTATTTAATTGGATAAAAACTTCAGTGATCAGCGCTGCATTGTCAGAGGTTCTATCTTTCACATTAGACATTAAACTGCAGTCCTATTCACATAAAGTTCCCATGCCACTATTTAAAAAGGGAACAGAGTGCGGCAGATCTCTTGGCCAACAACCATCCAAATAAAATTGGTCATTCATTCACGGTTGCTACATCGAATAAAACAAGAAATCCTCTTCTAATCTTTTTGTTCAAGTGGGAAGTCAGACTATCACTTGTTCAAATGTATTTCTCTGGCAAATGTTAGATAACCTTTAATATTGAATGATCTAGTGGGTTGTTAACATTGCACTTTCATGTTTTCGACTTTTATTGAACTGATATAAAGTTCCCACCATCTGCTAAAATCTAATTATTTTTCTCATTATGGGCTTTGAGTCCTTACAATTTTTTTAGTGCATCTAAATGTACGTGTAAAACAGACTGTTAGTTTCTTAAAGCTTTGTTATTAGTTTGGGCAATTTACAGTGTGATCTTTGGCTGTTCTTATCGATTAAAAAAATCTTGCATTATATATTTAAGTTTGATTCTTAGATTTGGAAAGTGCAAATTCAGCTTCAAACTAATGTTTTTTTTATTCTGTAACAATATAAACCTTTAAGATGAATGGAAATGCATCATTAGATATATGCTAAAGATGAAGCCTTTTAATATATTTCACACATAATACATTGGTTAAGTCATCCATGCTTAACTGTTTGAAAAAAGAATATTTGTGTTATAGAGTCATTTACCCAATAACAAGGTCTCCAAATCTTTCCTGCTGCATTGTTGGAGGTGAGGTTCTTCTGCCTATTCAGGCGGACATTAAAGATCCAATGGCACTATTCAAAAAGAAAATGATGGGAGTTTCTTCCTGTGTCCTGGTCAACAATTTGCCAGATAAAATTTGGTCATTCACTTCATGGCTGTATGTGGATCACTGTGTGCAAATTAGCTACTGCTTCTGCCTACAAATATACACAATAACTACATTCTACCATAAATCCAGGCAAGTCACATGAATGCTGAAGAGTTTAGGAGGGCATTAGAAAAATTGTGGTGGGAGGTGATGAATGTGCAAATGAGGGTTTCAGCTATGTCGGGTGTGAGTTAAGGTCGTAGGCGGGCAATATGGCGTAGCTGGAGGAAGTGGTCCTGGTCAAGTACTGGATATGGAGTAGGAAGGACAGCTGAGGACTGAACCTGACTCCTAGGTGTGCACAGGTTCAGTGAGTCTGAGGGATATGCCAGAGAGTTTATGGAAGTCAGAACCTCAGGTGAGAAGACATTTACAGGAGGATGGCTTTGATCTTATGAAAGCTCAGCCGCAGAAAGCGGTGCTCATCCAGGCCTTAATGTCTGACAAGTAAGAGGACAAACTATTAATGGAACTGGGGTCATGGCTGGAAGAGAAGTAGATTTGGGTATCATCCGCATATATGTGGAAGTTGATGCTATATCTACGAATGATTTCAAAGAGAGAGAGCACGTAAATGAGTAAAAGGATGGGGCCAAGGATGAAGCCATAAGTGACCCATTGGGGATGGGAGGAAAAACAGATGTAGTGATGGGGGTGGGTCAAGTGGGACTCAATCCAGGAGAGTGCAGTCCCACTAAGATGGATGATAGAGGAAAGGTGGTCAGTCGACTGTCTTGAAAGCAGCAGAGAAGTTCGGGAGAATTTAATATTGTAAAGTGAATATTATGAATAAATGAATTGATAATCAACAAGAAATGCAATAGAATAATAGATTTTGGTCTGTGGTTATCAAGACATTCAAGATTCCTTCAGGTAAGATTCACTAGGTCTAAGTGAATAGGAATGCAAGCTCTTGTCTAATATGGAATAGATAAGATAGTGCATAGATTGGTATGAAGGTGATCCTTTATTCTGTCTACTTTGTAACAGATATTACTGGAGGCTACTGTGGGAGATGACTTTGGTGGAGATATTGGAATTGATGACCTATCCTTTATGGATTGTGCTCTCCATGATGGTGAGTGTATTATTTATTGTTCAATCACAGAAGTAGTTGCATGGCATGTTTTAACACTGAGGAGACAACCTCTATAAGTGCTTTTTTGGGAATGCAATTTAATCCTGGAAAGAATAAAAATGTGCTGGGACTGAAACGGTCAGGCAACAGGAGGTCAACAAGATCTTTAACGTATTAGATAGCAAATAGGAATATAAATGATCTCAACAAGAATTCCCTCATACGACCTGGTGAAGCAACATATGAACTCTGAAGAGATCCTATGAATTTCAAAGGAAGCTCAATAAGAAGCTTGATTTCTATAAGGAAGGGACAACAACAACACCTTGCGTATATTTAATGCACTTCACATGGGGTTGCTTCTCAGAGTGCTTAGCAATGGCATAGTTTGATGCCAAGCCGGGGAAAAAAGGTAAATGTCCGTGAGCACAGTCAAAGAGGAAAGTCTTCAGGTGTGATATGAAAACAGGTAAAGAAGGGTCAAGGCAGACCTATTGAGGCAGGCAGGGGATGAAGGGGGGCAGGGGTTCATCAGGAATTGGGTCACCCAACTGACTGGGAACCCAAGCTGTAGGGAAGCTGAGGAGCGGAGGCGAAAGGTGGCTGGAAACACAATCAGAGATCGGTTTAAGGCAGGTTTTAGAAGCAATGAAGAAGGGAGCCAGGCAGAAGGACTCCAGGGGCAAGTGTCTGAAGGCTTGTCACCCACCGTGGGTCAGAGCTGGCAGGGTCGTGAAGCAGGCTGGAGTGTGCTGAGTGGAGGAAGCTACAGGAACATAAGAAAGCAAGGAATAAGGAAAGGCTTTCTGCCACTTCCAGAACTAATATTAACCTTTAATCACACAAAACCTAACCTATCTTGGACCCTTTGACAGAGAGCTTTGCATGGACCTTCTCTGATCCCTAAAGAGATCCAGGGAGCACAGTGGATATTTACTCCCAGCCTCTATCATCTCAAATTAGCTTGTTATTAACTCTCTCTCAGCTCCCACTCTCAGATCAGATGTTCATCGAGCACTGTAATGCACTTTAAGATGTCCACTAACTGTATATATACTATACACATGCACTATATAAATGTAAATGATATTGTAAATTGTAATGTATCTCAGTCCCATCCCTGTAACTGTTGTTTTCCAGATAAATGGGGGGGGAGGGAACTCCCCATCTCAATTCTTGTTTGAGGCCTGAAGTCTAGCAACGATTTGATAAAGTAGTTCGTACAGAGCAGCACAAGCAATCTAGCTACTGTCATACCAATAATCCTTGCATTTGATATAGCCCCTTATCACATCATTGAGACGTCTCAAAGCGCTTCACAGGATCTAATAATAATAATAATAATCCTTGCATTTGATATAGCGCTTTTTACGTCGGGAGGACGTCCCAAAGTGCTTCGCAGAACATACTGTAAAGTGAATTGACTGTATATTTGTGGGCGAACACGGCAGCCAATTGCGCACAGCAATGTCCCACAAACAGTCGTAGATTGAAAATGACCAATTTATTATTGTTTTTGGTTTTGGAGGGATTATTATTAGGCGTGTGGAGTAAGGAAACTTGCCCAAGGTTTCGCCCTGCCTGGAATTGAACTCAGGTCTCTCGCTTGCAAAGCGAGTGCTCTAACCACTGAGCTACAGGACTCCAATTTTATATTATAAAATGGATTGAAAATACAGAAAACTGTATTTTCTGTGTGAAATGTGGAAGGAGATCTGTCAATCGACTAACAAGCAGGTTCCTATTTGCTGTTAGGTAAACAGGTAAGGAAACTTGCCTAAGATTTTGCCCCACCTGGGAATCAAAACTGGGTCCTCTTGTTTGTGAGGTGAGTGCTCTAACCACTATGCTACGGGATTTCACATTGTTGGAAATAGAAAGGAAAAGGAGATTTAACCACTACAGAAACAATATTAATCTGTGCTTTCATTACTAAAATAATGAGAAAGTAATCCTAAGGGCAATTTTGCGGTATTTCGTAATGGATTTCTTAACTAAGGAATCTGCCAAATGTCCATGACATTGACTCATGGAAACATTCCAATTCAATCTATTTTTAAAGCAAGGTTCCCTTGAGCCGAAGTGATTTGCATGATATTCTTCCAGTCCCCACTCAGCATTCTTAATTTCTTAGTTCAGGAATCTATTTTTGGATTCCGAAATTCATTAAAAAATGTTGCAAAATTGACTCTTTTTCTTGGACAATATTTTACAGCTACTTGAGTCCATCATCATAATTTCTCAATTTAATTCTGCTTCCCAGTATCTTGTTGGCATAAAGATGGGAGGGCAAGCTGATAAAGCTGGGAAAACAAACTAGTGGAATTCACGGTTTTAATACATAAAAGCATGAAATATAAAAGCCAAAGGCTAATGCTAACATTATATAAATCAGTAATTAGGCACAGTTGGATTATTGTATCTAACTTTAGGCACCTCAAGATAAGAAGGATGTCAAGACCATAAGAACGGTGCATAGAAGGTTAACAAGCATAACAAGGATGAGAGATTTTATTTATGACAAAATATGGGACAAAACTGGGATGTTTTCTCAAGAATATTAATAATAATCCTTGCATTATATATATATTTAAAAAGGATCTCATAGTGCTTTACAGTATTTAATAGCACAGGATCTTTAACGTCCATCTGGACAACACTGAGTCATACTGAATACAGTTCCATGGGTGCCATTTGCCCTTTACTTGTCTCTCACCCAAATGACATTATTAATGGACAAGCCCAGATACTGAATGTTAGGATGCTATTCAACCACAGTGGACAATCAAAGACAAGTCTCGGCTGTCCTCACCAAATCTGCATACGTTTATTTTTGAACATGGGTCATGGGTAAGAACTGGAGCCCTGAGTGTTATTTTCCACTCACTGATCTGCAGAAGGTCCATTTAAGCTACCCCCACTGAGGCCAGGTTACTCCACAAAGACTGGAGATCAAACCTGGGACATCCCTGCTCAGCATAACTCAGTTTCACCCCTAAATCATGACTTTATAATGTCTCTGGGGTCTACCATGATCTGAATGCTAAATATAGCATTCCTTTCATTAGATAGACACCTTAATCTCCTTTTAAAAAAATTAAAAAGGGTCAGAAGAAACGTGCAGATCTTTAAAGGCTGTGTACCTTCCTTTCATCCACTTTGAGCTGTTGGGATCAGGCTTTAAGAATCTAAGAATGTCCTATAGCTTAGTGGTTAGAGCACTCGTCTCGCAAGCGAGAGGACCTGGGTTCGATTCCCAGAATCTAATAATGTTTCCAACAGTCAATGATGTTTAAATGAGATCACTTGGCTAGCCAGACTTCTCATCTTTTGGATTAACCTAATAAATCACAATAATTACCCTGTCATATAATTCTAAAATTCAAGTTAAACTTCGTAAAATAGTTCGTGTCACTGCATTTCACAGAGGGTCTACCACACAGGAGGCCATTCGGCCCACGTTTCTGTGCTGGAGCTTGCTCCCCCACTGGAGTAATCTATTCCAAATTCCATTCCTTTTGCCTTCAACTACAAATACACAGCCACTACACTTTATAGTAAAATCCTATGAAATGTTTTGAAACACGCTCCCACCATGATAAGGCATTATATCAAATGTGAGGATTATTATTATTTTGATTAGCTGGCAATACTCTCATTGGAGTATGTGTAATGCACATGCTCATAGGAGATGGCATCAAGATTATTTTTGCTGATGGTGCGAGGGGTGGGGGGTGGAGGTTGTTGGAATAATAATACAATAATAATAATCCTTGCATTTGATATAGCGCCTTATCATGCCTTCGAGTTGTCTGAAAGCGCTTCACAGAATATGCTATAAAGTGAATTAACTGTATATTCGGTGGGCAAAACACGGGAATCACTTGCTCACAGCAGCATAGTTGTGGACTGAGTGACCACTTTATTACTATTAATTTTTTTTGAAAGAATTATTACCCCCGGAAAAGCGATCGGCCAATCGACTAACAACTGGGTTATGGACCTGACTGCAAAACAACGTTGCCTTGTGGCAACCTTTTGCACATTCCTGTAGTCCAGTAGCTCAGTGGTTAGAGCATTCACCCTGCAAGTGAGAGACCTAGGTTCGATTCCCAGCAGGGCAAAACGTTGGCAAGTTTCCTTACTCCATACGTCTCTGTTTACCTAGCAGTAAGTAGGAACCCAGTTGTTAGTCGATTGGCGGATCGCTTTTCCGGGTTAATATTTCCTTCACACTTCCCCCTCCCCCACCACCCACCTCCCGCACCATCACCACAATAATCTTGATAGCATCTCCTATGAGCATGTGCAGTACAAGTACTCCCATGAGAGTATTGGCAGGTAATCAAAACAATAAAATCTTCACATTTCATATAGCGCCTTGTCATGGTGGGAGGGCACTTCACAGGATTTTACTATAAAGTGTAGTGGCTGGGTATTTGTAAGTCAACATGACAGACAATTTACACATAGCATTGTCCCACAAACAGCCATGAAGTAAATGACCAATTTTATATGAGGGATTGTTTGTTGAGAATCTGGAAGGAACTCCTTTCTCTTTTCAACTAGGACCATGGGATTTTTAACATTTACTTGACAGTCACAGGTCATTTAACAGTCACACAGATCTCGGACTAATGCCTCACTTCCAGCAATCCAGTACACCTTTCGCTTTGCACTGGAGTATGTACCTAGACTGTGAGCTTAAAGACATCTAACATTACATTTTTACAGCGTACCACTTGAATGCGATCTTGTGAGAGATGATGGGAGTTGTTTTGTCCAGTGCACGCTGGTCCCTGCTGTATTAATCGACTTTCAAACCAAGTTAACCGATTAAGTAGTCAGTAAAGTTTGGAAAAATGGACAGGATATCAAAAGGATACATGGAAAGAAATTGCGGAAACAATTTTCAAAATCCATTAATTCTAATTCAACAGGCGCTTTTCACTTTGAGACATCTGACATTACCACACAGCCATTAGCAATTCTCAATAATAAAATTCATCCAAGCATGTAACAGAAATACATTCGAAACTATGATGAAAATCTCTGAAATGCACTGCAGTCTCTTTTCACTGAATAATGATATTTTCAGCCTCCTAGGATCTATAGGGTACTACAAAAATTCATTCACACAGCCAGCATGCTTCTGTTGTGATATCAAATTATAAAGAAAAAATTAAACTCAATACCAAACTATTTTGCAGGACAGTCAATGTATTTCTTATAAAAACAAAACTCAGTTAAACCATTTTTTTATAGCTTAAAAAAGCCAAATTTGATCATAGTTGATTGTACATATTTGACATTTGATATTGATTAATTAAAAAACGACTGCAATTTCTTCTGCATTAAGCTGTATCTGCCTCCTCTCTGCTCATCCTACGAAATGGTATGTATCCTCCTGCATTTTCTGCATTTTTCCTCATAGAATGTAATCTTAGAAGTTGACCTACCTTGGGCCATTTCTAAATAATTATTAAAACTGTGTCTGTCATGCTTGTGATACATCCTGCACATTTACTAAATGTTTGAAGTACACTTTGACCAACGATACCAATTACATTTGGATAAAAGGATTTCAATAGTTGGCATGGAAGCTCCTACCATCAATACAGAGTTTGTTAATTTATATAAAACTCATTTACATTTCTATAATTCATTTTGCCCACAGCTACAGAATTTTAATAACGAAGAGAAGCAAAATTGAATGTCATCATTTATTGGATGCTGTAATCTATTCTGCTAAGTATTCTTTTAAATGAGCAACACTCTTAAAATAATCTCTTAACTACTCACAAGAACAACTTTGGTTCTAAGAAAATAATTACTCCCTTCACTAAAGCAGATTGAAGCTAAACTCTGCAAGGCATCAACATACACACACTTTCTCTCTCTCACACACACACACAGTGAATCAGATCTGCACACTACAGATAACACAAGGTGCAGTACAGAGCTGATGCAAGCCAATGGAGAATTCAGAGCAATTAATAGGATCTAATTTTGCAATATCTTTTATCTGGATTCACAGTAAGAGATACCTTAAATTAGAAATCCTGTTTACTTTGAGGTCATCTTAGTAGCTCAGCACTATTCTTCAACGCCCCAAAACACTATTCTGTATGAAAGGCACTATGTAAATGCAAGTTGTTTTTGTTGCTGCTGTTGTAATAAGGAATTTAGTTAGAAATCCCTTGGTCCCATAGAAACTCTGCTCAGGAGTAAACTGCATCATGATGGTCGGACTGAAGAACGTGAATGGAAGGAGCCCCATTTTCTCACTTCAGATTCCTTATTAAGAAATTTCTTCAGTAAAATACACCACCATCAACAACTTGCATTTATATAATGTCCTTAATGCTGGAAGCATCTAGGAACACTTAACAGTGATGTGGTTTGATGCCGAGCTGGAAAGAGAGGGGAGGTAACCAAATGAATGGTTGATGAGTAAAGTCAGGTGTGATTTGAAGTCGAGCAAAGAGGCAACAAGAAGAAGGGATTGAGGCCGGGAGTTCCAGAGATTGGGGACGTAGAGGTTGAAAATATTGTAAATGAGACCCCCCTCACTGTTATTTATTGATTCCATTATTTGAACGGGATGGGGTAGTTGGAGTGTTAGTTTTGCTGATGGAGGCTTTTTTCTAGTTCCTCGATTGATACATAAATCCCTACTAGAAACAGAATGTCTCTACCTTTTGTTATTCTGCAGGTAATTTACCATCTGCAGTTCCCACAAATCCATCAACAACAATAAGACCTACCACTCTGCCTCCTCATAACTGTACAGAGAACGAATTTATTTGTAAAATAGATGGTCAGTGTGTCGAGATCATCAAAACATGTGATTTCAGAGAAGATTGTTCCGACAAGACAGACGAGTTGGCTTGTGGTAAGTTTACAATCCTTTACACTTGAAAATAACAGAGGTGAATTGAGCCATAAAATATTCATCTCAGGTGATGTATTTTCATTGGACTGAGAGTGGAAAAGAATCTAGCAGCTGACATTCCTATATTTGCTAATCTTATTAAAAGTACAGATGCACATAAACACAATACATTGCTTACAACAACTATAACAACTTGCATTTATATAGCAGCCCTCATGCAGTGTAGTGTCTCAGAACAAATGGTGCTCCATCAAAAATGACACAGAGCAAGATACATTAAAACATGCTTCTACATATTATGCACTTTTAATGTATGTGCTTTGCTTCCACAGTTTCACTTTAAATATTGTGCCAGCCTAGCTCTTTGGTAGGACTTAGAAGAGCAGACCGACCATTGGAGCAGGGTTTCTTCCTCCTTGACTTCTTTGAACCCTGCCAGTCAAAAACCAACAGATAGGCTTGTCCTAGCTGACAAGCAGTGGTAGCTTGACAGCAAGATATTGGTTGCTATATTTGTGATATTGAATCCTCCCCTAGATGAAGGAAAAACACTAATGCTTGGCTGCAAATGATTGCAGAATTGCAAACTGCAGTAATTTGACCTAAAATATTGAACTGATACGTTTTATGAATCAGTGAAATAGCATTATATTGCAAAAATCAAATCAGGAACATTGAACTTCATCAAAAATCCAATTCACTGCAAAGATCATATAACTGGTTTGTTCCAAAACCTATAAGAAATGTATAGAATGCTACTGAATGATGGAATTACTCGTGTTATAAATATGAAACAATGATAAATCATAAGGATCTGTTATTGAAACATTTTCATTTTTTTTCTGCAGTTGGTAAAGTTTGCAATTTTCATAGAGGGAAGACTTGTGGTTGGAAACAGCAGATAAACTCTTCAGCTGAAAATACCTTTCAGTGGCTCACCGGACAAGGATCCACTATCCACCCAAGTGAAGCGGATGACCGACCGTCCACAGATCATACCATGTATGAATTGTAGTTTAATTTAGCAGTGCAGTAATGTAATTGGTAACCTTGCTCTGCTACTTTAACGTTTCAGAGGAACAACACGGTTTAAAAGCAACAACTAATGTGTCTGCACCTCACTGCCACCACAAGTAATTGTGATCACGGATGAATAGAAGGAGTTTGGTTCAGATGATCGCGGAATACGTATTTTCTAAATGAACTAGTGGTCTGTTCCAAGAAGATAAGGAGTGAGTCTGCTGCAGCTACATGGTGAATGAGTGGTCTGGGTGTTATCAGACCACTAGTACGTTTAATAAGATCCACATCCCATACATTTGAATGGAATATGTTGGCTTCCAAATTGAAATTATCTTCTATTTTTCAATGTTGAGTATGTTGGAGCAAATCCAGTTGCCACAAAACTTCCATGAATATAAATGTTAGCGAGCTTATCATGATCAGCACATTGAAGGCTAATTTCAGGTGCTGTGTTTTTCTAATTGAACAAGTCTAATTGTTGCTATCCTCTGAGTAAAGACAACCACCCCCACATCTCTCACTTAAAAAAGCTATGATGAGCTGAATATCTGATTTCTCAGGTAGGACCTGCCACTTAGGTTTATTGCAAGTGAGAGACCTGGATTCGGTTCCTGGCAGGGTGAAACCTTGGGCAAGTTTCCTTATTCCACACTCCTGATAATAATCCCTCAAAAAAAACCAATAATAATTTGGTTACTCAATCCATGACTGTTTGTGGGACATTGCTGTGTGCAATTGGCTGCTGCGTTTTGCCCACAAATATACAGTCAATTCACATTACAGTATATTCTGTGAAGCCCTTTGAAACGTCTAGAAGACGTGAAAAGTGCTATATCAAATGCAAGGATTATTATTATTATAAACTGGCTGCCGTGTTTCTTCCACAAAATACGCAATCTTTATTCTGTAAAGTGCTTTGAGATCTCTCGATGAAATGATAAGACACTATATCGAATGCAAGAATTATTATTGTATTATCACGAGATGCTGATCATCAAAATGAGGAAGTTGCTGTAGACTGTATCTGGTTTGCATAAAATCCCGAAGTTCTGATTTTGAACTCACAGTCTAAGATGATCCTCCAATGAGCTGGGAGTGTGCTCTATTAATAAATAATACTCGCATTTGATTTAGAGCCTTAACACATCGTTGAGATGTCTCAAAGCACATCACGGAATATACTGTAAAGTGAATCGATTGTATATTTTTGGGGCGAAATGCGGTAGTCAGTTACGCAGAGCAGTGTCCCACAAACAGTAGTTTGAGTGATCAAATTATTATTATTTTTGAAGGTATTATAACCCTCAGAAAGCAACCCGCCAATTGACTAACAACTGGGTTTCAACTTACTGCTAGTAAACAGAGGCACGTGGAGTAAGGAAACGTGCCTAAGGTTGCCCGGGAATCAAACCCAGGTCCTTTCACTTGCCAGGCAACTACTCTGACCAATACGCTACAGGACTTTTGCCGCAGGTGCAGTCCTTTGGATGAGACATTAAACCAAGGCTGACTCTGCTTGTTTAGGTGGATGTTAAAGATCCCATGGCACTATTCGATAAAAGGAATTTCTCCCAGTGTCTTGGCCAACAATTCCCCAAATAAAATTTGGTCATTCACTTCATGGCTGTTTGTTACACATTGATGTGTGCTAATTGACTGTTGTACTTGCTTACAAATTATATAATCACTATACTTTACATTCTCCCTATGTGTAAAGCACAATATCAAATGCAAGGATTATTTAGCACTTTTTAATTTTGCAGCTGGTTTTCTGTAAGTTATTTCTTTTAAATATTTCTTTTAAGAACTACAGAAAACAGGCTTCAAAATTAAAACTGAATTCAATAATTTGCCAAATTCTGTACATTCTGAAATGCTGGAGTAAATCTAGATTCAGGTCATAATTTCTATCCATATGTATTTGTCCGAGATTCCCTGTCTGCCTCCAGTTCACTGAGAATTCTATCACCTTTTGCTAACCTGTCAATATCTGCCTGTAGCTCCCTGCGCTCTTTATCACAGCTGACTGCTTCTAATTTAGCTTCATGCACAAATTTAATTCATTATTCCCTCAACTTCCAATCCAGATCATTGATATATATACAGAACTAGAGAGATCCTAACACTGGCAATCATTGACAAAATCCATAATTTTTTTTCCAAAAGGATATATTGGCAGTCACATCCCTGTTAAGGATGTGACTGCGGACTGCAGACATCATCCGCCGACATGGGGTCAACTTCCACGTGTCTACGGATGACTCCCAACTGTACCTCTCTGCCTCCACCCTCGACTCCAGGACCACTGCTGTCCTGACAAAATGTCTGTCAGACATCAAGTCCTGGATGAGAGCTAACTTTCTTCAGTTGAATGTCAACAAGACCGAGGCTCTCCTGATTGGCTCCCATCAGCACCTCCTCACCTCAGGCGCTGACAGCATCTCCATCCACATTTGCACACTTCACCTTACTAAGCCACTCCAGATCCTTGGGGTCTTGTTTGATCCTCAACTATCCTTTATACCCCACATTCGGTGCCATGACATATTCTGCCTTCCCTCACCTGCACAACGTCGCCCGGCTCCAACACTGTCTCACACCACAGGCCGCCGAAACCTTCATACACGCCTTCATTACATCGAGGCTCGACTATGCAAACTCATTGCTTGTCGGCCACCCCAACTCCTCCCTCCACAGGCTGCAGATCATCCAGAACTCTGCAGTCCATGTCCTCTCCCACACTATACTCCACGATCCTATCATCCCCAGCCTTGCCCAACTCCACTGGCTTCCCATCACACAAAGGATACAGTTCAAGATGCTGGTCCTCACCTTCAAAGCCCTCATGCTCTTGCTTCCCCCGACCTCTGTGACCTCCTAACCCCCTACCACCATGCTCACTCCCTACGCTCATCGGGCTCTGGCCTGCTTCACGTCCCTCGCCTCGCTCACCCCACTATTGGCGGGCGGGCCTTCTGCCACTCTTCCCCCACCCTCAGGAACTTCATCCCTTAGTCCCTCCTCCTCGTTTGAGTTTTATTGTGTGTATATGCATGATCCACCATTGTATTATTTCTTAACAACAACAACAAAATTCCATTTGTATAGCACCTTTCGCAGCCTGTTATATTTTTACGCTTGTTTCCTCAATGTACTTTATTCATGTCCACATTCTAGTGTCAGCCTGGCTCAGTTGGTAGGACTCCAACTCAGAAGGCTGCGGTTTCATGGCTTTGAACTCATATAGTCTAAGATAACACACTCCAATGTAGGTATAGGTATCAAGGGGAGTGGAGAAAAATGATCTGCCAAGGTCTAACAAACTGGTAGAGCAGACTTGATGGGCTGACTGGTCTCCTCCTAAACTAGTTTCCTTTGTTTCTATGTCCAGGTTCCCCAATATTATACAGCAAAAACTCTCCAAGCATTAATCACTGCCACTCAGATATCCTGCCATTGGATGATGGGATGACACAGTGCTATTAATCCCAATTTAACATTTCCTGTCATCTGTGTTCTTCAAAGTTATATTTTCCGACAAATAATAAAAAAAAGGAAGAATCATTTCTCGTGGAATATAAGATGATTTTAACTCAGCTCAATTTCTTTTAAGTATACCAATGTAATGTTATGCTTTACTCCATCATTTTCTCCTCCTAATTAGTTAAAAAATAGCATGTACTTAGGGAAAATGCTATTGAATGTCTTACCCTATTGTTGATGTACTGTAAAAACCTATTCAGAATTTATCGTTCCACAACCATATTGAAATCCTGAAGCTGTCTATATTCAGCACGCTTCACATAAGTCATTGGCAAATGTAGTATCTTTGAAAAATGGTCTTGTTTTGTCCTGTAACTTATGTGAAACAATATTGAAATTGCATTGAATCATTTTTGGAGGCTTCTTGATATTTTCAAGTGATGGTCAACTGGCCTCCTTTAACCTCTCCAAAATGTTTAGCAATGGATTGAGTCAACCTTCTGTGGCGGTCTTGGTCATCTGGTTCCTGGTACTCCAGGCCACTGCTGATGACAGACCAACTTGTCTGACTCATTGGCAGGTCCTCAGAAAGCAGATTGGTCACTGCGATTAGGAATTCTTCTCCCTCAGCTCCAGTTACTACCGCAAGCCAAAATCTTAACAGGTAGGCTTTTCCTCGTTGGACAAGCAATGGGAACCATTGCTCCCATTGGGGAGAAAGTGCGAATTCCATTACAAACACAGGAATTTCCATTTGTAGGCAGCATATATTGGAACTCTGTCTGGTTTCGGTGCTCTTAAGCATGGTGATGTTTTTTTTTTTTGCATGTGTCAGAAACCTGACTCACCAAAAACAAGATCAGGTGAAATATCAACATAAAGATCCCAGGCTCCTTCCCATCCCCACCCACCACCCTGTGTGGCTGAGGCCAATTGTTCCACTCCCAATCAGTACCCTGTGCTGAGGGAAGCTGACACAACACAGATTGCAGATCAAGCCTGCGACTTTCCAATGATGAACAGTCCAACTGAGCCTTTAGAGCTACTGAATACAAATGTTGTAATTTAAAGACTCAAATATTTCAAAATTGATCAATGGCTTAATTATCCCTTCAAAACAAAATGTTCATCTACAGTCTACACAGTCACTATACTTTCAGTAAATCCTGGGAAGGGCTTTGAGACACCTTGGTGACGTGATAAGGAGCTATGTCAAATGCAAGAATTACTAGAATTATCACTACATATTTTCCTGTTATTTTGAGATGTGAAAGATGCTCATTAGAAACAAAAAACTGCAGAAATTGGTTCCAAATTTAGACTGAATTTAAGAATTTTCGAAACTTTTCAGCCATGTTGTATCTTAAGACAATGTTCTAAAGACCAACACCATGAGATCTTATTTGTCCTCCAACTGATATTGCCTTTCAGTCTTTAAACACTGACAGAGTCCTGCTGAATCATTCCCTTAAGACGAAAACCTCCCACTGAGGTTAGCTGTTCATCAAAAGCATTCAGCAGACATGTGCTGATCATCTCAACGCTTCATGAAAGTTGGAATCAAAAATCAATGACAAAAATACTGTGATTGATCACGCCAATAACCAATTGTATTATCACTGAGGCATCAATCAAGCTCAGAACTCCAATCAATGCTGTGTAAGGATTGGCCATTTTCCACATTGATTTCAGACTCTCTCTGCAGTACTTGAATTACAGTGACAGTCAAATCTATCCTCCCGGCCCATTGCTTCTAACGTGCCACACTTGGAAAGATACACAAGTAGAAAGTTCTCACGGTCCCTAAATCCAATCTACTTAGGGGGTTAATTGACACATCACACATGGTAAAATTTACCTCATAATGTGAGCAATTGAACCACCATGGTCGCAACCACTATTGACGGCAATAAACAAAAGAAGAAATTTGGCTGCCACGTTTGGCCTACAAAATACATGGTCAATTCAATTTACAGTATATTTTGCAAAGTGCTTTGACATGTCTTGACGACCTGATAAGGCATTGTATCAAATGTAACGATTATCATTGTTATTACGTTTAAATGTTTATTTTGCCTCTGCAGGGGCACAGAACAAGGCTGGTACCTCTACGCTGATACTTCAAATGGAGAGTTTGGTGACTCCGCTGATATCGTGACTCCAGCCATATCCCAGACTGGGCCAATGTGCAAATTGGTGTTTTGGTATCATATGAATGGAGTCACTATTGGGACTTTGCAGGTACGATTCATATGAATGGAGTTTCAATTGGGTCTATGTAGGTATAATTACTCTAATTGTATTAAAACTTCCTTTTCATATACATGTTTTATATGTACTCATTTACAATAATGCATCGTCATTACACTTTCTAGCGAATCCTGTGAACCAATTTCAGATGTTTTCATGGCATGAAAGGCATGATATCAAATGCAAGAATGATTTGTCATTATTATATATTATTTCCATTTTTCAGATAAGACATTAAACTAAGATCCCGTCTGCCTGGTCAGGTGGACATGAAAGAACCCATGACACTGTTCAAAAGAGAAGAGAATTTCTTCCAGTGTCCTGGCCAATAACCCCCAAACAAAATTGGTCATTCACTTCATGGCTGTTTGTGGGATATTGCTATGAACAAATTGGCCATGCTTTTTGTCTATAAACCACACAGTCACTATACTTTCAGTAAAATCCTTTTAAGTGTTTTGAAGCATCTTCCTGATCTGAAAAGTGCTATATCAAATGGAAGGATTACTATCATTATTATTTTCATTTTAGAGCATAACTCTTTTCAGAATCGCATCAAATTCCAATGAATCCTCTGAGGTGTGGAACCCAGGATACCAATACACATATACAATTAGATCACAACAGACCTGAAATATTAAGAAAAGATTTTCAAAAATTGTTATAGTCATTATTAAAAGAGCAAAATAATAATAATAATAATCCTTGGATTTGATATAGAGCTTTTCACGTCTTCTAGATGTCCCAAAGTGCTTCACAGAATATATTGTAAAGTGAATTGACTGTATATTTGTGGACGAACGCGGCAGCCAATTACGCACAGCAGTGTCCCACAAACAGTCGTGGATTGAAAATGACCAATTTATTATTGTTTTTTTTGTTTTGGAGGGATTATTATTAGGCGTGTGGAGTAAGGAAACTTGCCCAAGGTTTCACCCTGCCTGGAATTGAACTCAGGTCTCTTGCTTGCAAAGCGAGTGCTCTAACCACTGAGCTACAGGACTCCAAAAGTATTGGGATTGATTGCACGGTAACAAAAGAAATTCTTTAATAATCAAAATCCTTACTAGTGCCAATTTATTAGGCAGCTAATAAATGTTTCATTGCAGGAGTATTGAGATACATAGGATACAAAAACTAACCTAAAATAAAGGAGAAGAAACGATGTCGGTGAGATAAAAACAATCTTTAAAATTGAAATAAGTGGGCTAATGTTTTATTATTTTGGTTCATTAAGGTCTTCATTAAATTTGATAAAGTGACACGGAAACTCTGGTCGCAAAGTGGTAGCCAGGGTAATCAATGGGCCCTGGGAGTGGTGTTCCTTGGAGTGCAGACTTCTTATCAGGTTGGCACTCTTGACTTTTATTTGTACAGTATTTCCATTTTTGAATGCAAACTATAACTAATTTGTTGACACTTAATGTAAAAGAATCCCAATCATTCTTATAAGTGTGAGCCTGTTCGGTGATTAACTTATCGGGACCCTTCTCAGGACTTCCCTCCACAATCCACTCTTTATCTATAACCACAAAACAAGGGTTAAGATGCGAAGATTTGTAGCAGGCATCGCGAGTAGCAGTTCGGATGATGTATTCACTCCAGCAATCTCCTTCACTTGCACAATACCAACACTTGTCAGTACAAATACACATTTCACATCAACAGACAAGAACTCTAGTAACCTAGATCACTTCGGAGCAGAGTTCCTGTGAATCAGTGTGATGTAACTAAGAACTGCAGAAGACCAAAGGAATTTGGGTATCCACATACACAAATCACTAAAAACAAGCTCACAGGTACAAACAGTTAACAAAAAGCCTGATGGGATGTTGGCCTTTATCTCAAGGGAGCTGGAATATAAAGGAGAGGAAATGATGCTTTAACTGTATGGAGCCTTAGTCACACCCCATCTGGAGAACTGCGTTCAGTTTTGGGGACTGCACCTCAGGAAGGATACATTGGAAGGGGTGCAACGCAGATTCACAAAGGGCTTAAATTATGAGAAGAGGTTACATAAATTTGGTCTCTCTTCCCTTGAGTTTAGAAGGTTCAGGAGTGATCTAATGGAGGTTTTCAAAATAATAAAATGATTCGATAGGGTAGATATAGAGAAACTATTTCCTCTGGTGGGGGAATCCAGAACAAATGGGCATCATTTTAAAATTAGAGCTATGCAATTTATGAGTGAAATCAGGAGGCAGTTTTTCGATCAAAGGGTAGTGGAAATCTGGAATTGTCTCCCCCAAAAGGCTGTGGATGCTGATCCGTTCACATTTTCAAGACTGAGGTGGATAGATATTTGTTAGGTTAGGTCAAAGGGATATGGGGCAAGGGCAGGTAATTAGAGTTGAGGTAGAGATCCGCTATGATCTTATAGAATGGCAGAACAGGCTCAAGGGGCTGAATGGCCTAATCCTGGTCCTATGTCATTCGGGAGCGGAGTCAAGAGAGCGCGGGGCGGAGCCGAGGCCTAGCAGCGGGTATTAAAACCCAGCCAGACGAGGAGCCACTCATTCGGGAGCGGAGTCAGGAGAGCGCGAGGTGGGGGTGGGAGTGAGGGGCTGATTTACAAAAGTGGCGTCGGCGTGACGTCATCATTAAAAAAAAACAACAATGGCCGGGCAGCCCCCGCCACTGCCATCCCAGCCGTGACCACATGGCCTGCGGGCTGATCGCTCACTCTCGGTCTCTGCGTGCGCATTTTGGCTGCCGCCCCGACCCAAGCCTCCCCCTCCACTCTAAATGTCTCTCCTCCCACCCCCCCTCTATCCGCTACTCCCATTCTGTCCTTCTCTCCCATCGCCCCACCCCGTCTTCTCTCTCTCCTCGACCCCATCACCACTTTCCTCTGCTCCAGCCTGGGCATCCTCCGCCGGGCCCATTATGGCTCTCGGCAGTGGCTGTCCCAGAGCAGTAACCCTAAGTGTATAATTCATTCACTCCCTCCGTACAAACCGCCTCCTTAAGGCAAACACAACTTCCCCCACCCTTATACGTACCCTCCCCAAATCTCCACTCCCACTATTCTCCATACCATCTCTCCTGTACACCCTAAAATCCTCTCTGCATCCTCTCTCCTCCCTCTCCTCCCACCAGCAAACCCACCTACATTTCCCTCCAAAATGTCCTTTCCCTCTCTAACAAAGCCCTCACCATCCATGACCTCATCTTGGACGAGCACCTTGACATTCTTGGGCTCACAGAAACCTGGTTCTCCCCCAATGACCCCGTCCCCCTCGTGGAAGCCTCCCCTCCAGGCTACTCCTTCCACCACACCCCCCGTCCAAACCAATGTGGCGGTGGGGTGGCCCTCATCTTCAAAGCCTCCCTTGGTCTTTCCCCCTACTCCTCTGGCTGCTTCCCCTCCTTTGAGCACCTCACCGTCTTCCATCCCTCTCTCCCACTGAAAATCCTCCTGGTCTACTGCCCCACTAAGCCCCCAGCTCCTTCCACACAGAAATCTCTACTTTCCTCTCTTGCCCTGTCCCTCTGCTCCAAACGCCTGCTCATAATGGGCGATTTCAACCTAAATCCCCTTGCACTACTTCTGCCGACTTCACTACCCTCCTCTCCTCCCTAAACCTCACCCTTCACATTAACTCACCGACCCACAACTGTGGCCATGTCCTCGATCTCGTTATCACCCATGGCCTTGACATTTTCAACCTTAGCATAGTGGACAAGGTCATCTCGGTCCACTTCCTCATCTTCTTCTTTTCTCACATCCCTCTCTTCTCTCACCAAGTCCTCAACCATTCTCTACCGCCCAAGGAAAAGGTTATCCCCTGAGATCCTCACAAAGGCCCTCACATCCTCAGCTATCCTATCCCTCTGGCCTTCCACCCACGGAGATCCTGAAGCAGCCGTCCAGCTGCTCCATGATCGCCTCTCCTCCACCTTCAAGTCTTTGGTCCCCCTGAAATCCAGGACCATCTCCAAACCCACCCGATCCCCCTGGTATAACAATCATCACCTCTCCCTAGAAACCCAAACCTGGCTGCTCGAGCGCAGATGGCAGAAAACTGGCCTGACAGTTCATCGCCAACTGTGGCTCGAGGATCTCCACAACTACCGCCGTTCTTTGATGTGCGTGAACATGAGAACATAAGAACATAAGAATTAGGAGCAGGAGTAGGCCATTCAGCCCCTTGAGCCTGCCCCGCCATTCAATAAGATCTATTCTTATTGATCTATTCTAACTCCACCTACCGCCTTATCCCCGTATCCCTTAATCCCTTTATCCACAAGAAATCTATCAATTTCAGTCTTGAATATGTTAAGGACTGAGCATCTACAGCCCTTTGGGGTAAAGAATTCCATAAATTCACTACCGTCTGAGTGAAGAAGTTTTTCCTTAACTCAGTGTGAAAGGGCTTACCCCTAATTTTAAGACTGTGACCCCTAGTTATAGTTTCTCCAACCAGGGGAAAAAGTCTCTCACTATCTATTCTGTCATGCCCCTTTCTATAAGATCACCTCTCTTTCTTCTATATTCTAGAGAATGTAGGCCTGAATTGCTCAACCTATCCTCATAACTCATCCCCCTCATCCCAGGCACTAACCTAGTGAATCTATGTTGTACCCCTTCCAAGGCGATTACATCCTTTCTTAAATAAGGAGACCAAAACTGCACACAATACTCTAGGTGGGTCTCACCAGGGTCCTATACAGTTGCAGCAAGAGTTCCCTACTCTTATATTCTAACCCTTTTGTAACAAATGCCAACATACCATTAGCCTTTTTAATTGTTTGCTGTACCTGCAAACTAGCTTTTTGCGACTGGTGTACAAGTCCCTCTGAACACTAGCACTATTTAGTCTCTCCCCTTCTAAAAAATAATCTGCTCTACTGTTTTTGCCACCTAGGTGGATGACTTCACACTTCATCTGCCACCTATTTGCCCACTCACCTAGCCTATCTATATCTCGTCGCATTTTTTTAATGTCATCCTCGGTGTTTACTCTCCCTCCTAGTTTAGTGTCATCCGTGAATTTGGATATATTAAGTTCGATGTCCTCATCTAGATCGTTGATAAAGATGGTAAATAGTTGAGGCCCAAGCACTGATCCTTGTGGCACTCCACTAGTCACATCCCGCCAATCTGAGAAGGACCCGTTTATCCCGACTCTTTGTTTTCTTCCCATTAGCCATTCTTCAATCCATGCTAATATATTTCCCTTAATTCCATCGGCCCTAATCTTGTGAATCAACCTTTTATGCAGCACCTTATCGAATGCCTTTTGGAAATCTAAATACACTACATCCACTGTTTCCCCCCTATCTAATCTACTTGATATGTCCTCAAAAAATCTAAAAGATTTGTTAAGCATGACTTCCCTTTTGTAAAGCCATGTTGACTCTGTCTAATCATATTGTGATCCTCTAAGTATCCCACTACGCAATCCTTAATTAAGCATTCTATAATTTTACCTACCACCGATGTCAGACTGACTGGTCTATAGTTCCCCATCTTCTCTCGCCCACCCTTCTTAAATAGTGGTGTTACGTTTGTGACCTTCCAATCAATCGAAACCGTTCCAGAATCCAAAGAATTTTGGAAGATCAAACATAAGGTCTCCACTATCTCATGAGCTACTGCTTTTAAAACCCTAGGCTGCAAACCATCAGATCCAGGGGACTTGTCACTTTTTAATGTCAACAATTTCCCTAGCACCAATTCTTTGCTAATGTAAATTTCCCTAAGGTGCTTCCTATCATTAGCCCCTTGGTTCATCTCTATTTCTGGTAAACTTCTTGTGTCTTCTAACGTGAAGACAGAAGCAAAGTATTTATTTGGGACTCTGCCATATCCTTATCCCCCAATGTAATTCCTCCTAGCTCTGCCTGTAATGGACCCACATTTACTTTTGCTCGCCTATTCCTCATAATGTATTTATAAAAACTCTTACAATCTGTCTTAATGTTCCTAGCTAACTTGCCCACATAATCCATTTTCTCACTCTTAATGAGATTTTGGTTTTCCTTTGTTGGTCCCTAAAATACTCCCAGTCCTCAGGTTTGCTACTCTTTTTGGCAGTTGCATAAGCCTTTTCTTTTAGTTTTATACTTTCTCTAAGTGCTCTAGTTAGCCATAGATGAACTGCTTTTCCTGTGGTACTCATATTCCTTAAGGGAATATGTAAACGCTGAGAATTATGCACTACATCTTTAAACGTTTGCCATTGTTGGTCTGTTGTCATACCCATTAATCTAATTCCCCAGTCTATTTTAGCTAATTCTTCCCTCATACCTGCAAAGTTAGCTTTATTTAAATTTAAGACCCTTGCTTCGGATTTGACTACATCACTCTCTAACTTAATACTAAATTTTATTGTGTTATGATAGAAGGCGAAAACGGCTTTCTACTCCAAAATCATCTTGGAGCCTAAAAACAATCCTAAAATCCTTTTTTCCACCACTCACTACCTCCTCCATGCGCCCCCTCAGGCCTACTCAATTTTCCAATGCCAAGTGCGAGGAGGTCATGAACTTCTTTTCATCCAAAATACACAACATCCGCCAGGCAGCCTCATCCTCCTGCCTCTTGTCACCCACCACCATGCTCTCTCTGTCCCCCTCACCCTCCCCATCATCAGCTCCTTCCACAATCCCCATCCTACATTCCTTCCTCCCCATCTCTCCTTCCTCCCTCTCACCCACCATCACCTCAATGAAATCCACCACCTGCTGCCTCGACCCCCTCCCCACCAACTTGCTGGTCACCCAGCTCCCCCTCCTCTGCCCACTACTGGCTGATGTCATCAACCAGTGCCTCTCCTCTGGATCAGTCCCTGCCTCCCTCGAAACTGCTGTCATGACCCTCCTCCTCAAAAACCTTCCCTAGATCCCTTGAACCCCAGCCACTACCGCCCTATTTCAAACCTGCCCTTCCTTGCAAAAGTCTGAGAATGTGTTGTTGCCAATCAACTCCATTCACACCTCTTCTCCCACTGCCTCTTCGAACCCCTCCAGTCCAGTTGCTGCCCTGCCCACAGTACAGAGACTGCGCTTGTGAAAGTCAGATATGACATCCTCTTTATCTGTGACCATGGCTCCCTCTGCTTCCTTGTCCTCCTGAACCTCTCTGCCGCTTTTGACACAATCGATCACGCCATCCTCCTCCACCGCCTTTCCTCCATCATCCACCTCAGTGGACCGCACTCACCTGGTTCGAGTCCTACCTCACAAACCGCCAGCAGTACATCTGCACAAAAGGCTTTTCCTCCCTCTCCCACCTGGTTACCTGTGGGGTACCCCAAGGTTCCATCCTTGGCCCCCTCCTCTTTCTGATCTATATGCTCCCTCTTGGGGATATCATCCGCAGACATAGGGTACCCTTCCATATGTATGCAGACAACACCCAACTCTATTTTTCCACCTCACTTTGTGACCCCCAGTCTCCTGGTGTTCTGTCAACCTCAGGAGCTGGATGAGCGCGAATTTCCTTCAGCTGAATGTTGACAAGACGGAAGGCATACTTTTTGGCTCTTGTCAATGTCTAAAATCACACAATTCTTACCTCCTCTACCTACCCGACCTCCCCCTAAAACTCTCCGAACCCTTACGCAACCTAAGGGTCAGGTTCGACCCCCAATTATCCTTCCTCCCCCACATCCGGTCCCTCACCAGCACCGCTCTCTTCCACTTCTGACGCATTGCCCGTCTCCACCAATACCTCACTCCAAAAGCCGCTAAAACCCTGGTCCATGCCTTTGTCACCTCTCGGCTGGACTATTCAAATGCCCTCCCCTCCACTGCCATTCACAAAATCCAGGTCACACAAAACTCTGCCACCCTCATTCTTACCCGCACCAAACTCCACTCCCCGATTACCCCAGTCATTGCCAGACTGCACTGGCTGCCTGTCCCAGAGAGGATCGACTTCAAGATCCTCACACTTGTCTTCAAATCCGTCCACTCCTCTGCAGCCCCCTACCTCTCTGACCTCCTCTCTCCTCCCAATAATGTCTGTTGCCTTCGCTCCATCGGGTCTGGCCTACTCCTTGTCCCCCAGGTCCACCGCTCCACCATCAATGGCCATGCCTTCAGCCACTACACCCTGAGGCTCTGGAGCTCCCTTCCTCACTCCCTTCGCCTCACTTCCCACTTTCAAGTCTCAGCTAAAGATCTTTCTTTTCGACCGCGCCTTTGGTCACCTTCCTCCCCCTGGCTGGGCGCCGGGATCCGTTACTGTGAAGTGCTCTGAGACGCTGTCCAGGGTGGAGGGCGCTGTACAAATCCAAGCTGTTGTTGTTATGTTCCTATGCACTTCCTGTTACTAGCAGGAGTCACTATTTCCAACTCCTCTTGCAAACCCCATTACGTCCCATTTTTGCACAGAGGACTAAAATCTTGGAGATAATAAAATATTTAATTTTTTTTTCACTTTCAGTTTAGAGACAAAGGTACTTTATCTTGTAGGCCATCACAAAGAACCTGACTGATTAAAAGTGCACTGCTCAAATATTTATTAAATATTCTGTTCAAAGAGAAACAGGAGTATGGAGTTCAAACTGAACAAGACTGAATTGACTTCAAGTAACCAAATTATTTAATTCTTAGGGACTTAAAGGGTAACCGTGAGGCTGCTTATTTGTTTTATTTTATCCAGTCTCAAAATGATTGCAATTGAAAGAAACAGCAGGAATCTTTGAAACATATTCTCTGAATTAACCCAAGCATGTAGCGTATGAAATGCAGGATTATTATTGTTTCATGTCAAAAGCCAGCCTGATCCCAGCAAGCTAGAACGGGATATGAAATTGCTGTTGTAAAAAAACACTTGAGGATCAACCATTAATCTCATGACCACCCACCCCACAAGCTGCAAATAGCGTCTACTTCAAACAAAATGTATTAGCTAGTCAGTCAATTGTCATAGCCAGGCTGATCAAGTACCCTGTAGGTGCTTATTATTATGCTCTCCTCTCAGCCAGCTTCTGCCGTTGTCTATACATTGCCACTCTTAAAGTTCAATATTCACAATGCTTTATTTCTTCCAATTGTAGCAATTCTACTATGATTGTTGTTCAGCAAAATCTATCTGTGAACCAGAAGCCCAACATTTCCCAATGGGAATTAGTCTGAAAATAATCACGCAGTGTTTTGGAAAGTTCATGAATTCAGTTTAAATTTGGATGCCATGTTTCTGTAAATTCTCTTTAAGAACAGTGGAAAACAAAGGTTTTCAATTGATGAGTGCATTTAGGAATGTTTCAAAGAGTCCATCTGTTGCAAGCATTTAAATGCTATTGCAGTAATTGTGTATTTGTTTAACTTTTGCAGATTATCCTCAGGGCTACACGTGGTGTGAGTTACATGGGTGATATTGCAGTGGATGACATTTCCTTTCAAGACTGTGCACCCCTTCTGATCCCTGATAGAGCATGCAGCTCCGATGAATATGCATGTGCCAACAAGTATTGTATCCCTAAGGACTGGCTCTGTGACTTCAATAATGACTGCGCTGATCACTCTGATGAGCATCCAGTCATCTGTGGTAAGTCATTTATTGTGCTGGAGTGGATCACTCATCCTTATTTATAGAACAAAGCACCATGAAGGACTAGAAGATTGGAATTCGCAGCACAAGGAAGAAAAGGGTGGAACAAAACTGCTAAAGGAAGGGGGTCGTGGAGTGGCCCAAGAGAGACAAATTAGCCTGAGGGAGTGTGGTTGATTACTCTGACCGTTCCCCATTTTCAGTCCATTTTCAAAGCTAAACTTTTCATGCACAAGAAGATCGAAATTCCATTTTGCCTTAAGATATAAGTTTGCAGTCGTAGACGTGTGAATATGATAATATGAAAAATTAAAATCAAATAAAAAATGTGGAAAATTCTTCAATCCAATATTAATTTGAAAGCTGTTTTCCAAAGTTCTTAACAAGCTTCCAAATGAATAATAATGATAATAATATAATAATCCTTAATTTGGGATAGTGCCTTTCTTGTATGAAGACTGAATTGTGGAATTTTCCACATTTCTATCCAATCTGAAATGTTAGTATTTTAAATTTTCCGTCTCACATCTTATGACTTGGTGTAAGTTCAAGCCAATGATCTCAAGATAAAATAACACAGCAGAGTAGCTAATACGGACAAGAACTCCAGCACAGGTTTGATGGGTTGAATTGCCCCTTTCTGTGCTATAGCATTCTATGATTCTATGATCTGTTCAGTAAATCTTGAGATATACTTTTCTAATTGCAAGTTTCATTTTCAGACACTGTTTTAGGGCACTGTGATTTTGAATTTGACATGTGCACCTGGAGGCAATTGAGGGATGATGCTTTTGACTGGACTCTTAAACCAGGAAGAACACCATCAATGGGCACAGGGCCAGCCACAGATCATACCCTGCGTGATCCATCCGGACATTACATTTACATCGAAAGCTCATTCCCACAACTTCCTGGGCATGTAGCAAGGATTTCTGGTCCACCCATCAGCAAACAAAGCAAAGACTGTAAGGTACAAATATATTTAAAGATTTAAATTGGTTGATCCCCTTCAATTTGGCAGTTGAGGAAGAAGCTAGGATTTAGGCATAGAAACAAGGGCAGTCAATAACCCATTGAGTCAGTTCCACTATTCCATTAAATATTGGCCGATCTTTCAATCACATTTCTCTACCTTTTTTCCAATAACAACCAACAACAACAAATTACATTATATAAAACCTTAGTTGGACAAGCAGCAGGAATATGCTATATATTCACTCATCTGCATCAGACTCTGATCCAAAAGTGGTCTTGGGGCTATGATAATCACAAACAAAATCCGGTTCTATGCACACGCATGAGTTTATTAGGAATGCAATCTAGCCACGGAATGCGTCACTAGATGCCAATAATGGTAAGTATATCTTTCCGTAGATCTTAAACTCAAAATACTGAATACATTGCTCCAATTCACGCCTCTCATTCAAGCCAGCCCTCAAAGCGTAACTCTTTGACCATGCCTTCACTTATCTGTCCCCTCCCCCACACTTCCAGCTCCCACCCCCAGCTCAGGTGCCCATCCAGCACTGTTAAGTGCTTATATAAATTGTAAGTGAGATTTGACTGGTGCTCTGTACAATTGCAGCTGTGCTATCCATGCTTTTATATTCCCAATTCTTTGCTTTATGCTCATCATTCCATTTGCCTTTAATTGCTTTCTGCATCTGTGAACTAGCTTTAACATGAGGCAGCTCAGGCTCTCAGCCAGTTGTGTGAAGAGCTTTGAGACATCCTCCTGCTGTGAAAGGCACGATATAAATGTAAATTGGTGTTATTGTATTATTTGGAAACGCCAAATAGATATGATATATTTTGCCGATGATTTTGTACTGATACTGGCAGTAAACAAAGGGATGTCCTGGAGGATTTCTTTCTATAAGAGCATCTTACATTCACACCAGCAGACACTGCTGCAGCCAGCAATAGAGTTCATTACCTGGCCAGCTGTTTGACTGATATGGGAAAGGATCCCTTTTCAGTAGTTTTTCCTGCAAAAACGTGCCCAATTGGGGAAAACTGAGAATACACGACAGTGAAGACTTTGCTTTTAGGATTGGGAGGCCTGAACCACCTATCTATCATCAAGCTATCTGAAAAAGTGGAAAACATCTGGTAATGGAGATACCATCAGCAACGAAAACTCCACAAATAAAAAAGGCTTATGATCTCACTTACAGTGGAATCCTATTAGGTACAATGGTTAGTTTCAATCAAAGCCCTTATAAAAGGATACACATGTCAGACATAGACATAGTTCCTGTAGTGCATTGGTTAGAGCACTCGCCTCGCAAGCGAGTGGTTCGATTCCTGGACGGGATGAAAGCTTCCTTATTCCAAATGCCTCCGTTTACCGAGCAGTAAGTAGGAACCCAGTTGTTAGTTGACTGGCGGATTGCTTTTCTGGGAATAATAATCCCTCAAAAAAAAATTTGGTCATTCAATCCACAACTGCTTGAGGGACCCTGCTGTGCTCAATTGGCTGCTGCGTTTCGGTCAGAAAATATACAGTCAATGCATTTTACAGTATTTTCTGTGAAGTGCTTAGAGACATCATATATCGAATGCAAGGATTATTATTATTACATTCTCTGTCAACTACAGTATAAAGATGAACCTGATATATCAAATGCAAGAATTATTATTATTACATTCTCTGTCAACTACAGTATAAGGATGAACCTGAGCCCATCTACAAATTAGCTGACAAAGGCTGCCCGTGTCTGATATTATGCACCTCAAACTGTACGCAGGAACTATATAGCTTGCCCAGGAAATATACTGCATGAGTATCATATCTAGGGATCTGAACTCAACTAATTTGGCAACATAACCCAGCATCCTGTTTGTTGTGTTTATTCCACCTCACATTGTTTTGACACTGTAAGTGATGAATCAACTAACACCCTTAGATCTCTGTCAACGGTTTCTGTCTCTTCTAATGTATTCCACTGGCGGGTGGGTCGGTAACCCGAGGACACCGATTTAAAATAGTTATTAAAAAGACAGAGGGGAGGTGAGGAGAAATTTTTTCAAACAGCGAGTTGTTCGGATCTGGAATGCATTGCCTGAAAGGGTGGTGGAAGTCGATTCGATAACAACTTTTAAGATAGTAGATCATTTTTTGGGGAAGATAAGTTTGCAGGGCTATGGGGAGAGAGCGGGGGAGTGGGATTGATTTGGACAGTTCTTTTCAAAGAGCCAGCACAGACATGATAGGCTGAATGGATTCCTTTTGTGCTGTATAATTCTATAGCGTACACATGTTTCCTAATTTTACTTCTTATATGCACTTTTCTGTGTTAATAATGATAAATTTTGTTTTTGATATAGCACTTTACCACGTTGTTGAGACGTCTCAAAGTGCTTTACAGGATATAACCTGCCCACTCCCTCCGTTCATCGGGCTCTGGTCTGCTCCATGTCTTCCCCCCTACCATCAGTGGCCAGGTTTTCAGCCTCTATGGCCCCATACTTTGGAACTCTGTTCCATGGTCCCTTCGCCTCACTTCCTCCCTTGCCTCCTTCAAAGCCGGTCTCAAGACCCTTCTCTTCAACCGTGCCTTTGGTCTCCCTCCCACCTCTCTGCCTTCCCTCACCCCTACACCACCCCTTCCCCATGCTCGGGTCCCAACACTTGATTGTTCAGCACTTTGGAACGTCCTCACGACCTGAAAGGTGCTTTACAAATGTAATTTTATTGTTGTTGTACTGTAAAGTGGATTGACTGTATTTTATGAGTATTGAGCATCATTTGCCAGTCATCAACCCATGTGCGTACCCTATCAAGATCTCTTTGTAAGAGCTTGATGGCATCCTCTGAATTCAATTCTGTGAAATGTGGTGTCATCTGTAAATGTAACTTAATTTACCAATCCAAGCAAATTAATAAATACAAGAGACAGAAGGGGTCCCTGCTTAATAACTCTCCCCACTTAATACCTCCCATTTGGCATCTAATTAAGTCCTGAATCTGCCCTGCCATTTTAGATGTTTTTATAAGTTTACATTAAAACAAAACAAAAGCTACAATAGATGGAAAACCAATATATTAAAAAGAATTTCTACTTCTCACACAATTGATGTATTTACAGAAGGATGCTTTGTTTTCTGCCCTGACAATGACGGAGTATGTCAGACAAGTGCACATGCATGACTGACCACTATTTTCTTTAGTTGAAGAAATATTTTCTACAGTTGAAGAAAATATGAAAAACTGTACTTCCAGTTCAACTCTTGCAATAATATTTGCCTGGTAACCTTTTTAAAGCATAGGTTCCAACCAGGCACAATTTTAACCAACATTTGAATGAATTTAGCATAAATAGGCTGTTCCCTCTTATTGGTCAGTCCGTAAACAGGGGACACAACTCTAAGATAGTTACCAGAGGATCTAAAAGAAAATTTAGGAGGAATTACTCATGGAAGGTAGTGAGAATGTGACCTCAATGCCCAAAGCAACGGTTGAATCAGATAGTATAGAGGCATTTAGGAGGAAGCTAGATACACAGACGTAATGGGTAGGGTGGTCCTAGTTGGACAAGCAGCATGAAGTCTTGTCAGGCAGTACTCTCAATGGCAAGAGATTCGGTTTTAGGCGGTTATACTCCAGCAATACCCCAATGCACACTCTGGAGTCCCCAAGCCTCTTTGGCTGCCACATTTGCCTTCATATACACTTATTTTAATTTCCTCAAGCAGTTTGAGATGTTTGAACTTTATAAGTAATGTAAATGCCAAGAATATTATTATTAATAATTATGCATTGAATTAACTGCTCTGGAGAAAATTCCCCTGACACATTCCCACATTATAACATTCCAATGTTATTCACCCCTAATAAATAATAAAAAATAAAATAATAATAATCCTTCTAGACATCTCAAAGCGCTTCACACAATATATTGTAAAGTGAACTAACTGTGTATTTGTGAGCAAAATGTGTCAGCCAATTGCGCACAGTGGTGACCCACAAACAGTCATGGATTGAAGTGACCAATTTTATTGTTTTTTTGAAGGATTATTATCAGACGTATGGAATAAGGAAACTTGCCCAAGGTTTCGCCCTGCCGGAAATTGAACCCATACATCTACAGTTGAAGATGATAAATACATTTCATCTACAACTAATTAAAATCCCATACTATATTTATTAAAACATTCAAACCTAAGTAGACAGGAATCCTGGTAGGTCCTAGTCAACACCAATTGCTCCTCACAGCAGCTCTTACCTTAGCCCTTGTTTTCTTTTTCGCCAATATCAGATTCTCATTCACCCTGGTTCTGACAATAGTTTCTTTCGTTCATCATTACACATTCTTCCTCTACAGCAATCGGTTCCTGACCCCTCCTCTTTTTCCTTCAAAGGCATCAAGCTAGACATGGAGGTAGCTTCAACAACAGTCCCACATCACTGCATCCTTGAAAACCATCCCGCGCTCCCTTCCTCCACTGAACAAGATATAGTTTACATTTATATTATGCTTTCCACATCGGGAGCACTTCTCAAAGGACTTTAGACTGCTTTAATACTGGGAACCTAGGCTGGGGTGGGAACTGTAAAGGGTGGGGAAGAGAAAGATGACTGAAAGTGCAGTCAACGAGGTAAATCTTGAGGCTGGCTTTGAAAATGAGGAGGTAGGGGCTCCGGGATGGAGTTCCAGAGAGCGGGAACAGAATGGCTAAAGGCTCGCCCACCAGTGGTGGTGCAGATGGGGGCAGGAGACATGAAGCACGTCAATATTTGTTGAGTGACACAGCACTTGTTTTGTTTTAAATTCCATCCCTCCCTGTTGTAAGCAGAAAACATAAGTTCCCATTCAGTATAATTTATAATAGAATTCAACCTTGTGCCCTCTATTTATAACATTTAATTAAAACTGGTCTTACGCAAGCATTCGCATTTCATTTAAACTTTGTACTGAAAGGGCAACCAAGTAACAAATTACACACTGCGTGAAATAAAACTCTGAACGTTTGTTAGTCTTTTAAAAAGAAGCAAAAATATTTATTCTGTTAAAAATTGATGGCATTACCCAAAAGATCATTGTTCAATTATCCAGTACTGGCATTTACATTAATACTGTATTTTTTCTGGTGCTAACAATTATCTTATTAGTTAGCTTTGGCTCCTAATAATTTATTTTTGCTGTTGCTCAGCAAGAGATTATAATATCCATAAACAGAGACACCAATTATTCTCAATTCCAGGTGTTTTATTAAAGTAGAATTGAATTGAAAAGGCTCAGGGCCATGGATATTTATGTGACCTTCTCACTGTAAACCTATATATGCATTGCTGGTAATTTTAAGCATACACATTTGAACAAATCCTTTCCTTATCACAGATTTCTTCCTAATAAATTTGCCTGCTCCTAAAACAAAACAAATTATTCTTGCTTAGTACAGTGTAGCAGAATAAAATATATTGTAGAATACAAAACTGAGTGGCAATGTTCTTGAAGTATCAGTGCAGGAAAGAGATTTGGGATTTGTGGGATGGACACTGGAATTATTATCATTATTATTATCCTTGGGGGGAGGTAAGCAGGGTCTCCTTGGAGCTGTACTGGCTCAAAAGGTGACATGTTTGGTAACAGAATGTCAGAATCAAACCTACCTTCTGTAGTCATCTTGGTAGTCCAGTCTCTGAGCCACGCGTATCCTCAGACCAGTCACTGGGGGCAGGGAGTCATCCCACTCAGCTCCTGTTAACCTTGCAAGCTAAAGCCCAAATGGGTAAGATGGTCCTAGCTGTGGCAAGCAGTGGGAAAGCTTGCCAGGCAGTGCTCTCAATGTGGTTTTAGCTGGTTAGCTTCCAGTAGTACTCCAACACACACACTGGGGTCTCTTGCCATCCTGCACCTAATACTTTCCAGAATTAGGTAAGCAGGATGCAGGGAGAGTGCACATTCCACTCCAATAAATATTTCTGCAGTTTTTATATATTTATTTTTTGCTCCATTTCGAAAATCCAGGATGTTCTAACATGATTTGTAACAGGATTTCTTAATGAAGGAAGCAGCCTTTGACCCTGATTGTTGGGAGTATACTTTCACACAATCTACTTTCAGAGCAGATTTCCGGTGAGTTTGTGTGATACTTCTGGTTGCTGGAAGAAATTCAAATTTAGTCTCCTTAGTTAAGGAAGAAAAAGCCACATATTAGACAATAAATAAATTATTAGGCATTGTGAAAAATAATTGCATGTATATAGAACTACACCTGTATGATGCTTCTCTGTCTTGCAGATTCTTTTCTACTATCATATGGCAGGACATAGTATTGGATCCTTAATAATATACCAAGTGACTGTATCAGATCGCCGCACAATGCTTTTCAACTTAACTGGGGACCAAGGCAACTATTGGAAACGGGCTAAAATCCCTCTCAGTGCAGATGAAGACTTTGAGATACTGTTTGAAGGATGGGTTGGGAAGGGAACAAAAGGAGACATATCACTGGATGACATTACCTTCACAAAAGAGTGCATCCCTTCATCCATTGCTTTTGCTGAAGAACCAACTGTACTTCCTCCAACAGGTATGTCTTGACAATGGATCAAATTGCAGTAAAACTCATTACCATGTGCTGTCATTAATAAGCCATGCAATTCATTTAGTGCCTTTCACTTTAGAAGGACGCCTCCGAACATTTCACAGGATTTACAGAGGAAATCAATCAGTAATGATAAACATAATCCATAATTTATATATTTGTTGGAATATACAATAGATCTTGATAAATTTCCATTGTGGTTGAATTTCAGGTTGTTGATGCAAATAGGAAGCACGATGACCAAGAGGCCCTAAAATCTTCATGGTCTTAGCCTTAAAATTATTCTCTTCAAATTTAAATGAGGTCAGAAATCTTTCGGTCTCCAGTTTCTGGTTACAGGCAAAGGCCCCAAATTATGTGTACGTCTACTTGCAAGGAACGGCAATATTAGAGCATCTAAAAATAAAAGCAGTTTCACATGTTGTCTCCAAGATGATAACATTGTATATTTTGGCTGGTCGTCAAGACCAAAGATGGCAGCCAACATCTTAAGTTTAAAAAGCTCCTAAGGAGCAACATGGTGTCAAAGCTGTGGAGGTGTTCAGTTCTGAAATAAATAACAACAACTTGCATTTACGAGTCTTGTGGCTTAGTGATTAGATCACTTGCCTCACAAGCGAGAGACCTGGGTTTGAATCCCGGCAGGGCGAAACGTTGGGCAAGTTTCCTTACTTCCACACATGTCTGTTTACCTCGCAGTAAGTAGGAACCCGGTTGTTGGTCAATTGGCGGATCGTTTTTCCGGGCATAATAGTTCCTTCAAAAAAATTTAATAATTTGGTCACTGAATCCACGACTGTTTGTGGCTGCCGTATTTTGCCCACAAAATATGCAGTCAATTCACTTAGCAGAATATTCTGTGAATCAAGTCTTGAAGACATGATAAAAGTGCTATATCAAATGCAAAGATTATTATTATTATATAGCGCCCTTCACACCGGCGTCCTGGAACGCTTAGATATTTATTGATTGAAATAAATATATAGTTATTTCATAAAGGAAATGGGTTATGAAATGTCGCACATTTACCCCTCAGGTGAAATTCCTCTTGCTGCGAATCGTAGTAACTGTAACGGAACAGAATTTTTATGTAAAGTATGCTTTCTAATGAAGTACCATTAGGGGCAGTATATGTAAATTGTAAAGTCTTCAGAAATACAAAAGATAATTAATATTTCACCCTGTGAATTTATTTTCTGGTTTGATTCATTTTCTGCTTTGAACTCACTTGATTGCATTAATTTTGACCACCTACCCAGTGACTATCCTCGTGTGGGAGGGAGGTAAGTGGGGTCTTCTTGGACATTTCCATAAGTAGGTGACATACATCAAACTGGCTGGATACTCTTATGGTGATGGGTTTCCAAAAGTGCCAGATCCATCTAAACACCACCAACAACTTGCACTTATATAGCACCCTCCATGTAGATGCATCCACACCTTCAAGAGTGAGGTTGATAGATTTTTGGTAGGTCAGGGTATTAAGGGGTTTAAGGGGGAGTGGTTGGAAGCACGGTCGAAGAGGAAGGTTTTCAGGTGGGACTTGAAAACGGGGACAGAGGGGGCAAACCGGAGGATTGAGGAAGAGTGTTCCAGAGTTTCGGGATGTAGTGGCTGAATATGCGACCTCCAATGGTAGAGCGGAGAGTGCGAGGGACGAGCAGGAGGCTGGTGTCAGTCGAGCAGAAGTGTCAGGCAGTGGATTTGGGAGTGAGGAGGTCGGAGAGGTAGGGAGATGCGAAGGAGTGAAGGGATTTTGGACATAAGCGTGAGGATCTTGAAAGTCGATCCATTTGGTGATGGGGAGCCAGTGGAATCTGGCCAGAACTGGTGGGATGTGGGTACGGAGTTTGATCCGGGTAAGTATGCGGGCAGCAGAGTTCTGACTGAGCTGCATTTTTTGAATAGTGGAGCTGGGGAGACCGGTGAGGAGTGCGTTTGAGTAATCCAGGCGGGAGGTGACAAATGCATGTGCAAGGGTTTCAGCTGCATTTGGGGTAAGGTGGCAGAGGCTGAAGAAGGCGGTCATGATTAGGGACTGGATGTGGGAGAGGCAGGACAGCTAGGGGTCGAACTGGAAGCCTAGATTTCGCACTGTTTTGGAGAGTCTGAGGGAGAGCCCAGGGAAGCTGAGGAGAGAGAAACAAAAACTAATTGCATTAATTTCTGAAGAAAAGAGTTTCACAGCACAAATAATGAAATGCATTTTTTCTAAATTAAAGTTGTAAAAAACACTAATGATCTGTGATAAGTGGCCACAGCAGTGAGTTTCCTGCACTGTCAGCATTATCAGCACCACTTTATGTAGCTACTGGAGTGGCTCACCTGACCCTTTGAAACCAGTGAAGTCCAGACAGTGCATGCAACTCAATATTATATTGCAGTTGACAATATAGAGGGGACACCGGCAAAGTTAAGCATAGTGGGGTCTTAGCATCTCAACAACCCGTTTTGAAGCATTTCAATCGAATGTCATTTCCGATTGGCAGCGACGCGTTATCAACAGGAATGTCCAATGGGCTGAGCATTAAGCTTTCTTATTCAGCCGTGGGTTGAAATGACACCGAGTCTTAGCCTGTAACAAAAACATTTTGCCTTAAGCTTTAATATTGTACAGAACTGTAGAAAATTCTTGAATTCAGACTTAATTTGGAAGCCAATTATTTTTAAGAAAAATTGATTTGTATTCGCTGCTTGTCAGTGCATTGTGTCAGAGATTTGGGACAGGGTCAGTTTTTTGAAAAACAATTAAGACCAAACTATTATAATTATGCAAGTAGGTTCAGGGAGCTCCAAAATCAGCCTCACTGTCTTTTCTTTAAGAGCTCTTGTGCATCCGTTGCATCACCCCAGAACTTTTAAGGATCTGTTTGAGAGGAGAGTCGGTATTGATTCAAACTTGCTGTGTTTGTTTTGAGGTTGTGCTTGTCAAAGTGCTGCTGAAAACAGCTCCTTGAAGAGTTCTCAGTAGAGTAGCTCAATCGTGTGTCACTCAAGCAGAGGGAAGTCTGGTTTGCAGCATCCTCCAAATTTATTTGAGGGATTGTTGGCCAGGACACCGGGAGAAATTCCCTTCTGTTTTCAAATAGTGCCACCAAATTTTTTTATCCGCCTTGGCAGGCAGATAGGCCCTTCGTTCAATATCTCGCCCAAAGGACAGCATGTCTGACAATATAGCACAACTTAGCTTTGCATTGGAGTGTCAGCATAGACTATATGAGTTCCAAGTCCCATCATGGTTCTCAAAGGCAAGAATGCTACAAGGTGAGCCAAGCTGACACTAATTATTGCAGTTGATATGGCACTTAGAACCGCCAAAATCTCTCAATTAATTTCACAGATAATTGCTATAAACTGACGTGCCTGTGCATTTTGTGGGCAACCACAACAGCCAATTTGTGCACAGTAATATCCCACAAGCAACCATGAAGTGAAAGACCAATTTTATCTGGGGGATTGTTGGCCAACACAACAGATGTAACAGATGTCTACTCTGGCACTTTGTCACCATTTAAAACTGTGATAAACAAAATATTAATATTCAAAGTGGATGAAGCCTCCGACTGTTTGGAAGCCTCAGGACATGGTTTGTAGTATTCTTCCAATTATAACATTCCAATTGTACTGGATACAATAGAGACATCTGTGCAAAACTATGAATGTGACTTCCCACTGTGGGAATCTGTTCCTATTGTAAGAGATTATTAAACTGCATCCAAGATGAGCTGCTGGGCTTTCCTAACACTGTCAAGCTTCAAAGCTTCATACCATTGCTCTGTGAAGTGTCCACTGCAAGGAAACCCTAGACAGTTATTTATTTGAGCGTAATGTTGGACGTGGATGAAATCGAGCTGACTTTACACTGAGCTCAACCTGTTTTGCAAAGTTAAGATATTAAAATATCCAAATGAAACAAAACAACAGCAATTGGCACCAAAGTGAAGATGTTAAACTGAGAAGGGGATTGAGCAGGTAATATCCTGGGTCAAGTTGAATAGCTTGCACTCCAACATGTGATTGTTATTCTAATTCACCAACAACAACATTGAGTCCTGTAGTTTAGTGGTTAGCGCTCGCTGCGCAAGTGAGAGGACCCGGGTTTATTTCCTGGACGGGGCAAAACCTTAGTCAAGTTTCCTTACTCCACGTGCCTCTGTTTACCCAGAAACCCAGTTGTTAGTCGATTGATAGATCACTTTCCAGGGGTAAAATTGTTCCAAAAAAAAAAATTATTTGCTCTCTCAATCTTTGACTGTTTATGGGACACTGCAGTGCACAATTAGCTGTCGCGTTTCACCCACAAAGTACAGTCAATTCACTTTACAATATATTTTGTGAGGTACTTTGAGATATCTCAATGACGCAATAAGGCACTGTATCAAGTGCAAGTTATTATTTATTTCCCTTTTCTGCATAATCCTTAATCCTTTTCCTTCCCAAATTTCTCTCATATTAAATACGTATCTCTATATGTTAAATATTCCAATAAATGCCATTTCTCTCCCTTGCAGCCGGTTCTGATTGTTATTTACCCTCTGGGTAAAGAAACATTTTTTGGGGTATCTGTCCTGAAATTGCCCTTTACAACTCTAAACTTATGGCCTGTACTTCTACTGCATTGATGCATCCTAAAATATTGATCTGGGTTTACTACGCAAAGGTAAAATCAAGCAGTGAAATGGACTGTGCACATTCAGAAGGCAGCATACCATTTCTACATCTCAATCAAGTTAGCCATAGTTCAGTACACACTGCACAATTTCAAGAATTTTTGGCACAATGTGTAGCTTTTGGCTATTGTTCATAATCTCAGATAACAGATTTAAGACCCTCACAGAATAATTGGAAGTAAACTGCTATGGAAATGGTTCAGTATATTCTAAGCTCCAACATCGCAGCTGGATCTAAAACAGGTTTGATCAAATATCAGTGCAATGAGAGTCTGTCTCTTGGCTTTTAAAAAAGTGTCTCTTAAAGATTTAAAATGGTTCAAATGTCACACACAAATGTCAAGATAAGATTCAGCAGAGCATAATGCTCAAGCATTGGATTTTGAACCATGATCTTCAGAAATTATATTGAGAATCAATTTGATCCAGTTTCATGTCATTTTTAGAAGGGATGCAGAGAGCAGATAGTGTAACACAATATGAATGTGTTCTTCAATAACATCTGATAGAACACATGCTGTATTCACTTACCTAAGGCTAGCTATATTTCTCAGCTTCATCTGAAGCAAGTTTTAAATAAGTCTTTGCAATACAATCTCTGCCTACATTAACATAGGACTTGTAGAATAAATTCTTGTTACCGTTTTATTTATATTTTTACAGGACAGTTATAAAATGGTACAGTGATCCTTGGAATGCTGTCACATCTACTGGATATCTGTCTCAGTGATCTGAATATTGTCATTTACATTACATTCTGATATTACACTGTGCTACTGAACAACAACAAATTATATTTAGATACCACCTTTCATTTCGGGAGGATGTCTCAAAGCATTTTAAACTGCTGACTAAAAACTCAAGTGGGGATAATAATAAATAATCCTTGCATTTGATATAGCACATTTTCATGTCTTCGAGACGTCTCAAAGCGCTTCACAGAATATACTGTGAAGTGAATTGACTGTATGTTTTGTGAACAATACGCAGCAGCCAATGCGCACAGCAGTGTCCCACAAACAGTCGTGGATTGAGTGACCAATTTATTATTATTATCAGGTGGAGGAAAAGATGACCAGAAGCATGGTCGAAAAGATAGGTCTGAAGGTGGGCTTGAAAGATGGGGAGGGGTGAAGCAGAGAGACTTGCAACGCAGTTCCAGAGAACAGGGCAGAATAGTTGGCAGGGCAGATCATGCAAGGGACAACAAAAACCACAGCACGTTGAATTTATATTCACATCATGCAACAGGCTGGTGTCCAATGAGTGGAGGGAAGGTTGCAGGAGGTCACAGAGTGCAGAGCGAGGGCAGAGCAAGACCATGAAAGGAAACAAATGAACAATACGGGAATGAAAATTCCCAAACATCAGGATTGCTTTATTCCTTTAACGTTTATTCTAAAACAAACCCCAAGCACAACTGTTTAACTAAAAGTAAAATGCGTGTACACTTGCGCTTAACCTTTTAATTATTTTTCCCTCTGCCCTTATTAAAATGATCCTGGATAGTCTGAACGATTCTATCATATTTAACTGTTACCAACTGTGCAGATTGTGGCATTGCAAATTCATGGTCATTATTCATGGTGACAGCCCTTTTTATTTCCATGTCAGTAAAAATGCTGAGCTGGACTCTTTTAATCTAAATGTACAATGTTTCATAACAGGATGTGATAATTGTTCTCGTGGTTTCGAAAGATAAAATGTCTAAGTCATATGGTAGCCTCGCCTTTCTCCCCTGCTCAGTGTCCAATCCTGCCACTATACAGTGCTCTGAGACACTACAACAACAACAACAAAATTACAGTTGTAAAGTGCCTTTCATGTCGGGAGGATGTCCCAAGGTGCTGGACAGTCAGTGTTTCTGACCCGAGCTGGGGGTCGGGGTGGGGAGGATGGAGGGCAGGGGGGAAAGCAGGGAGATCGAAAGCACGGTCGAAGAGGAGAGTCTTGAGATGAGTCTTGAAGGTGGCAAGGGAGGGGGCGAGGTGGAGAGACTGCGGAATGGAGTTCCAGAGGGTGGAGCAGAGTGGCAGAAGGCCTGCCCGCCAATAGTGGGGCGAGCAAGGTGGGGGACGTGAAGCAGGCCGGAGCTTGCTGAGCGGAGGGAGCGAGCAGGATGATAGGGGGTTAAGAGGTTGCAAAGGTAGAGGGGGAGCAAGGCCATGCAGGCTTTGATGGTGAGGACCAAGATCTTGAACTGTATCCTCTGTGTGATGGGAAGCCAGTGGAGTTGGGCGAGGATAGGGTTGATAGGGTCACGGAGCCTAGTGCGGGAGAGGAAAGGGACTGTACCAATGAAAGGCGCTGTGTCAATGAAAGTTCTTGTAATTATTGTACTCTGCTCTGAAGCTACAGGTTATTTATTTGAAAAATATAATAAAACTTTTTGTTGGTTTGCTGTTGAGCCTAGATCAAGTCAATTTGGCAAATTATTTCACGATGCTACCCTGAATGAAGGGTACTATATAAATCCAAGTTATTGTTGTTGTTAGGGTAGCAAAAGTACTGCAACTCTGAGTAGCTTCCTGCAGCTGAACTGGAACAAATGCCATTATATGTACTTTCTATTCGAAACTTTAGGTGATCCCTGCAGTATGGAGTAAGTTTAAAAACATGAACAATAAAGGAAGTGCTTCTGGTGAATCATTTCATCAGCTGTAAAGCTGTTTATTCCAACCACCCTCTTCTTAAAAGATTTGGGTGAACTGAAGTGGCACAAAAATAACCTGCTTTGAAATCTATTTAAATCTACTAATGGGAGCACTTTATATTTTACAGATTTCTGTCCTCAAGGTTATTTGGAATGTCAGAATGGACACTGTTACCAACCAAAACAGAAGTGTGATTTTGTAAATAACTGCGGCGACAATACAGACGAAAGCAAATGTGGTGCTTCCTGCACCTTTGAGGATGGGCAATGTGGATGGAAAAACTCTCTGGCAGATAACTTCGACTGGATCCTAGGCGAAGGCTCGTTTCAGAGTCCAAGGCCTTCGAAAGATCACACCTTAGGAAACGAAAATGGTAATTTCACAAACCTACATCATTACAATGACTAAGACTAGTCATTGTAAGACAAGTAAGACTAACAACAGCAATTTGCTTTTATATAGCGCCCTTCACACAGGTTAGCGTCTCGAAGCACTTAACAATGGCGTAGTTTGATGCCGACTTGGGAATAAAGGGGAGGTTACCGTAGGCATAGTCGAAGCAAAAAGAATGAAAAGATACGTTAACAGAATAAATCTAGACCCATGTGGAAATTTGACCCCAAAGTGCCTAAAAGTGCACCTGATGCGGTTAATTTACAATATTTCTAACATAATTCCTTAATAAAGAAATCCAAGTCACACAAATTAGGACTCCTTCCAACAACTGGGATGTCAATCTGACTCCTAGGAACTTTGATCCAACATAATCTATTTCCTGAGTGGAGTTTCCACGGGTCTATAGGAGATTCAGCAAGAAATTTAGGGGAACATCATTGTAACATGGTTCAGTTGGGTCTGAAAGCACAGTGATTGGGTTAAAAGCAAAGCACTAAAAAATGGGTGACTTCTGGGTTGTATGATTGCTGATGACGCCACTTACATTTACACTTACACGCTAGTACTGTTCACCTCACATCTTGCACTCTGCAATGTTAGCAGAACTTTCTGTGTAAAACACAAATGCCTGCAGGAACTGACTACACTGAAGCACCGGAAGCTGAAAGTCACTCCACTTTGTATTAATATACACCCACAATAGATGAAAGTCAGCAAGTCAGCATTATAGCAAAAGGTACTATTGCAAAGTTCTCCTGTGCCACAAATCAGATCTGAATATTTCAAATTGGGCCTTATGAGTGATTTGTACAAGGTCAGAATAACCTCTTTTAAATTATATTTGAATGCCCATGAGATGTAATCTACTATTTGATTAGCTTTGATCACAGCAACTTCATATTTGAGTCTAATGTATGATATTTGCAAACCAGATTTGTAGAAATAATTGCAATTTCCAGCTTCAAAATTTCACACACCTGCAAAGCACAACTCCCAAGTTATCCAGATTCACACAGGGTTGGAATCAGATGTTCCAGTTTGTAATAACATGCCTGAGAAAAACAGCTGGTGGATAGAAAATGCAACCTGCAAACCACAACTTACAATGAATATTAGAAATCTAAATGGAATATCACAAACTAAACCCTAATGTCTAGAAACTTTCCATGAGTGACAAATCACATAAATGGAAGTGGAGGTTTTAATTGTTCTCTGATATGGAAAAATATTCATTTCTGTAATTACTTTGCTTTCAACCAAATCTGGGTCTTAGCTTGCTGGTTAAGCATTCAAATCTTTTCTGCTCCTTTGCCGAACACTTAATGCGAAGATACGATTCTGCTGGAACTCATTTTGGGATCATGGCTATGTCTTTGTAGGAGATGTCCTCTCAGCAAAAATAACTCTGCACTGTTTTCCCTCCCTCTGTGCGTATTATAAGTATTGATCTGTGAGCCACACTTTCAGATGTGATAATAATAATTGGCAAAATAAAAGCATTAAATTGACAATATGGAGCAACAGACACAGCTGGTTGAATATGAAGACTATTGGGAAAGGGTTGTAAAGCTAGGATAAAATCTACTTTGAGGCAACAAAAGCAAATGAGCGAGAAGTGTGGACAAATAAAGAAAAGGAAAATAAGGTTTTCTTTGTTATTCTTAACTCTGAAATGTTCTCCATGTTTCTGAATACATTGCCAGTCTGAGGTCCTTGTTAAACAACTCAACTCAGATATTATCAAAGTAACTTCCAAATTCAACATTTTCATTAAACTAATATAAGGTGAAATTATGCATAAAACCAAGGAAATATGTCTTAAATCAATGTTATAGTTGATGATCACTTTACCTTTGGGCCGTGCATTGAATTCTAGACCACGTAAAGCAGAGTGTGTGACTCCAGCAACAGATTGAAGCCAATTGCCAGTCAGTTGCCATATCAATAAATAAAAATTGTAAGGACATTTTGCCCCAACATTACATTGAAGCCATTATTTTCTTCTAAGGATCATCTAAACATGAACCCAATGAGTTACAATTCGAACAAATCTGAATGCTATAATAACTTGATTTATGCAGGATCTCAGAAGAATTTGCCAAATCAACCTGATCAGGTTTTAACAGCAAAAAGTGGTATATTTATTATACTTTTCAGATAAATTCTTACCTAGTACTGTATGTGCAGAGTATACATAAATCCATATGACAAAGAAGAGTACATAGGTTTAGTGTCGCAAACAGTAACTTAAGACAGATATCAGTACATTTTTCTTTATTCAGAGGGTAATCAGTGACTGGAACAGTTTGCTAGGGAAGATTATCGAAATCAGGACACTGGATTCATTTAAAAAACAGCTTGATGTGGTGATTGAGGTCAATAGAGTGTTCTGGATAGTGAAATTGTGTGGTCCAAAGGGCTTTCTTCATTCAAACCAATCTTGTGATCTTGTGACTGGGTTGAGGTTTACAGAGATTTAGGCTATACAGGAGAATGTACAAGTCCTCCCCATCGTACCACACTTTGGTATAATGCTGGTCTGCTTATACTGAGTTTGCATTGGAAACAAGTGACATGCGTTATCAACTTCTAGTGCTGACTGTTCAGCTTCCTGGCCCATAATATGCAAGTGTAGAACACTTCCCGTGTTATGGCAAACCCATGCTATTACCAAAGCTATAATAGGGTGAGGTTATTTTACCTTTGTGGTTCCAGCAATAAATTGTAACCTATTCCCAGCTGCTTGCCATGTTGTGAGAAGGGTATTTCAAGAAAGGCTCACAGAACTGAACTTAATTAATCAAATTAAGAATAAATAGGGTATTCAGTTCTTCCAAATATTAGAAATATGAATAAGTTAAGGATACCAGTAAGTGGTTTTAATAATAATAACATTTGACTTTGATATAGCGTCTTAACATATCCTTCAAGCATCTCAAAGCACAGGATTTTTACTGTGATATGTAATGACTGTATATTTTGTTTTATGTTGTTATATAAAGAAAAGGTGTACAAATTTAGTAAGTATGAAGCAAAATTAGCGAGCGATCCTAATAATAATAAAAAAATAATCCTTGCATTGTTTATAACATCTGATCATGTCATTGAAGTATCTCAGAGTGCTTCATAAAGCTTATTGTGAAATGTAGTGACTGTGTATTTTGTAGGCAAATATATGTAGAATGAACAGGAACACCCAGAAAAAAAGTTAATAATAATAATCCTTGCATTTGATATAGCGCCTTATCACGTCTTTGAGATGTCTCAAAGCCCTTTGCAGAACATACTGTAAAGTGAATTGACTGAATATTTTCTGGCCGAAACGTGGCAGCCAATTGCACACACCAATTGTCCCACAAAAGTTGTGGATTGACGTTAATACTATTTTATTAACTACTTTAAAAAAAAATCTGGAAAACTGGAAAAATATCTTTTGAGGACTGTTTAGCTTTTTGCCCACAAAATATACAGTCAATTCACTTTATAGTATATTCTGTGAAGTGCTTTGAGATGTTTCAAAGACATGAAAAGATACTATATCAAATGCAAGGATCATTATTATGAATAAAAGCCAAATGTAAGGATAAGACATAAGTGATCTGTGGAACATGCACTGCTTGGATCATGGATGATCACTTGTGAAATACAACTGTTCAGAATAAGTTTGGGTTGTGTGGTTTGCATTTTGCTGTATTGTCTTTGAGGTCAGGGAGCGATCTGATGGTGTGTTATCTTCTTAGAGGCTTGATTATAATTGATTGCCTCCTTCAGGACACTGAGTGGTTCGGATCGAGTCTATGATAGAACAAATTGCATATGGTCTGCGGAGGGATCAGACTTGATGTGACAATCAGTGAGAAAATAAATTCAAGATAATGTTTTGCATAGGCAATATGCAATTTGCCTGACCCATTTAATTTCCTGAGGGAACATTTTCCACAAATATGCCGTGATCCTTAAAGGTGATTTAAAATACTTCCAGAATATCTATCCAAGCTCATATATATTGATGATTCAGTGCTGACTTATCAACGCTCCAGCAAAAATAACTCCCAGTCCCAAAGTAATGTACATGTCTGTACGGCTCAGTTGATAGCACTCCTGTTTCTGGGTCAGAAGGTTGTGCGATTGTGCCCCAGATCAGCTGACACTCCCCACCAGTATTATTGCCAGAGGAGCCATCTTTTGGTGAAACAAGAACAACAACAAATTACATTACTATAGCGCCTTTCACATACCAAAGTGCTGGACAATCAGGGATTTGGACCCGAGCTGGGGGTTGGGATCAGGCGAGGTGGAGGGCAGCGAGGGTAGGGATAGGAGGGTGACCGAAGGCGAGGTCGAAGAGGAGGGTCTTGAGACAGGCCTCAAAAGAGGGAGTGGGGGAAATGCAGCTGGTCGGAGTCCGTTAAGCGGAGGGAGTGGAGTTAGCAGGTCACATAGGTTGGGAGAAGCAAGGCCATGGAGGGCTTTGAAAACTGTAAACAAAGATCCTGCTCTCCTGTTCAGGTAGATTTTAAAGATCCCCTTTTTTTTGCAAAGAGTGGGGAATTTGTCTTGTATTCCTGGCCAACAGTGCTCTGAGCTAATTAGTCATTCACCTCATGTTTGTCTGTGGGATCTTGCGGATGCAAATGGCTATTTCATTTGCATACAAAAACAGTCGCTGCACTGGACAATTATATTTGAAGTCCTTTTAGATGTTCCAACATGGTCAGGCACTATAGCAATGCAAATTCTTTCTTTCACTACTGTGGGCCGAATGGTATTACCTTGCTTTATTCTACTGTGTATTATATGTTCCCAGATGTTAGTTTGGCTCACTTGCAGTACTCTCACTTTTGAGTTAGAGGCTGTGAGTGCAAATCCTCATTCGGAGTTTGAACTCACACTTCAATCCACGGGGTGTGCCATCCTTCAGATGAGATGTAAAACCAAAGTCCCATTTACCTGTCAGGTAGACGTTCATGATCGCAT